ATTACTCACAGTATGTTAATGATACAGTAACAATGAAGTGCATAGCTTCTGAAGAGAACATGACAGTGAGGAATCTACAGTATTGTGTATGAAGAAAGGACTCAATACCAAGAGGACACAGACGGTAACCAAGGCAGACACACAAAGAAACATATTAGAGAATACATGTATTAACATGTATCCGAGTCCCGGAGCTAACAAATACGCACCTTTAATACCAATGAATGATCTAAACAAGCTAAATCATATCACCAGTCACCTTAGATTTACAGTGTCAACAGTTGGATTTGCATCCCTTTTGTCACAGCCAGAACTTTGCCCTCTGTAATTTGGCTGTCAAACATAAATAAAATAATTCTCTCTAAATGTTTTATTTTTTAATGTGTACAATATCTGGGTGTATTCTAACTCATCAACACTGAAATTAGTTACAGTGGGGGAAAAAAAGTATTTAGTCAGCCACCAATTGTGCAAGTTCTCCCACTTAAAAAGATGAGAGAGGCCTGTAATTTTCATCATAAGTACACGTCAAATATGACAGACAAATTGAGGAAAAAAAATCCAGAAAATCACATTGTAGGATTTTTAATGAATTTATTTGCAAATTATGGTGGAAAATAAGTATTTGGTCACCTACAAACAAGCAAGATTTCTGGCTCTCACAGACCTGTAACTTCTTCTTTAAGAGGCTCCTCTGTCCTCCACTCGTTACCTGTATTAATGGCACCTGTTTGAACTTGTTATCAGTATAAAAGACACCTGTCCACAACCTCAAACAGTCACACTCCAAACTCCACTGTGGCCAAGACCAAAGAGATGTCAAAGGACACCAGAAACAAAAATGTAGACCTGCACCAGGCTGGGAAGACTGAATCTGCAATAGGTAAGCAGCTTGGTTTGAAGAAATCAACTGTGGGAGCAATTATTAGGAAATGGAAGACATACAAGACCACTGATAATCTCCCTCGATCTGGGGCTCCACGCAAGATATCACCCCGTGGGGTCAAAATGATCACAAGAACGGTGAGCAAAAATCCCAGAACCACACGGGGGGACCTAGTGAATGACCTGCAGAGAGCTGGGACCAAAGTAACATAGCCTACCATCAGTAACACACTACGCCGCCAGGGACTGAAATCCTGCAGTGCCAGACGTGTCCCCCTGCTTAAGCCAGTACATGTCCAGGCCAGTCTGAAGTTTGCTAGAGTGCATTTGGATGATCCAGAAGAGGATTGGGAGAATGTAATATGGTCAGATGAAACCAAAATAGAACTTTTTGGTAAAAACTCAACTCGTCGTGTTTGGAGGACAAAGAATGCTGAGTTGCATCCAAAGAACACCATACCTACTGTGAAGCATGGGGGTGGAAACATCATGCTTTGGGGCAGTTTTTCTGCAAAGGGACCAGGACGACTTATCCGTGTAAAGAAAAGAATGAATGGGGCCATGTATCGTGAGATTTTGAGTGAAAACCTCCTTCCATCAGCAAGGGCATTGAAGATGAAACGTGGCTGGGTCTTTCAGCATGACAATGATCCCAAACACACCGCCCGGGCAACGAAGGAGTGGCTTCGTAAGAAGCATTTCAAGGTCCTGGAGTGGCCTAGCCAGTCTCCAGATCTCAACCCCATAGAAAATCTTTGGAGGGAGTTGAAAGTCCGTGTTGCCCAGCGACAGCCCCAAAACATCACTGCTCTAGAGGAGATCTGCATGGAGGAATGGGCCAAAATACCAGCAACAGTGTGTGAAAACCTTGTGAAGACTTACAGAAAACTTTTGACCTGTGTCATCGCCAACAAAGGGTATATAACAAAGTATTGAGAAACTTTTGTTATTGACCAAATACTTATTTTCCACCATAATTTGCAAATAAATGCATTAAAAATCATACAATGTGATTTTCTGGATTTTTTTTCTCATTTTGTCTGTCATAGTTGACGTGTACCTATGATGAAAATTACAGGCCTCTCTCATCTTTTTAAGTGGGAGAACTTGCACAATTGGTGGCTGACTAAATACTTTTTTCCCCACTGTAAATTCATAAACAGTTGGGTTAAACCATGAAGAATGTAGCTATCCTGAAGATGAAAGGAGATCTAGTGTGTAAATCATGAGGGTTAATGGACCAGGCCTCTCAGGTACCACATCACAGAGGGTATCTAGTCCCTCTATGGTGGTCCACACAGACCCCTGCAGGCATAATGACACCAAACACTGGTTATTAAGTGACCATTTGCTCCAAGCTATAGTGTGCATCTGAATACTTCCCACTGGCCACAGACATCAATTCAAAGTCTATTCCACGTTGGTTCAACATCATTTCATTGAAATGACATGTAAACAACGTTGATTCAACCAGTGTGTGCCCAGTGGGTTATGTGATGAGTATTCTACAGCTGCTGCAGTGCATTACATTTTGGAGAATTATATAGTGTGCCATATGCGTAAAATGGTAAAAGTCGTTATATATTTTCACCTTTACCCTCAAATGCCCATCACACTTATTTACAAGTATGTCCTAGTAAATAAGTGTGGTGGGCATCCTAATTTGAGCTATGAGTAGCTGGAACCTGACACCCAGCGCGCGGTGAAGATCAGTGTATTCAAGGAACATGTATCGCAACCGAACGTCTCCAAATTGCCTTCCGCATTACTGAAATCTAACCCGAGGACATCAGGAGAGTGACATAATCCTCAAGAGATCCCAAAACTGCGACCCATCAAATGGAGCGCCAGGGGTGGTTTGGAGATGTGGGTTGGCGTGTACTTATGTTTCTACTTGCGGTTTGGTTGTGCAGAGGTCGAGAAAATAAGGGCGGACACTTCGAAACGTCAGCGCGCTCAAAGCTATAAATCTATCCAAACCGCCTTCTGCGGCTCGTACAGCGTGATGCGCAGACAGCTGCACATCTGTACTGCCAGTGCCAGTCTGGAGAGAATACACAGAACCCGCATGTGGACAACCATCTCACTCATTGCGCGGACACCACTTGGATATAATGGAGAATATACATTGCCCTCATTTTTTATTAGAATACCAAGTCCATTGGGGATATAAAAACATCAAGTAAATCTTCATGACCATATGTTGGTCTGGTGGATGTTACAGACGTTTTTGGTTTGATTTTCTCTCATGAAAAAAGTTTAAGGTAACACCTAATAAACTGTCTCTCTAAAGCGCGTTTCAGTGCGTTTTCCCTGCGCCTTTGGCGAACCTCTCTGCTCCCTGCGTCGGTAAAGCTGATGTCTTCATTTGACTCCTTGCAGTTGGTGATGGTGGATCTCTCTCGGATTTCCAATGTGGAAACCAGCATCCAATTAGTTTGCGATTGAGCGCCTGGAGAGACAGCGTAGAGGCACTTTGGCCAGCTAGTCACTTCAGCGTGTAGCCTACCTGTGGGCAGACGCATGGTTGGGCGCTCTGTAGGCTACAGAGTTATGAGAAGCCACTCATCAGGCGTCGTTTCATTTTGTGGGGCATTTTTTACTTCTATTTTTTTTTAGACATTGTAAATTAGATTGAACACATCGGATCTCGTTTATGTGATCAGATAAAACTGTACAGTCTGAATATATCCTTTGGATAAAAGTACTTCTTACTCACCACGGAACGTTAAATGCATCGCTGTGTGTTGGACTTTAATACCGATACAATTGCAGGTCTGCAAGGGCCAGATTTAAGGTAAGCACATTTCAGTCACAGTTATTGATTGTGCAATATTGTTTTTGTAGATGAGATGCATGTGTGTAGGCTATGTAGGGTATTAACCTACTATAGTATTGATGAAGGAATTTTGAGGCTCTCAGACCTATTCTGAATGTCGATCATCCTACAAAATAAGCATTCATAATGGATCAAACATGTAAAAAAAAAAAAGAAGAAGATTTCTAACACACATTACGCATTAACAGTGTGCCACATTTTTCTAGGTGTTAGTTGCAAATCGGAAGTAATTTATTTAATGCATTAAGCCTATTCAAAAATTACATCCTATGGACATACATTAGCTGCAGCCAATGCTCAATTAACAAGAGTCACATAAGCAATGGGGATTCACCATCTGGCAAATAGATGCCAACATGAGGACTATTGTAGCCTTTCTACTGGACACCAGCCAATGCGCTATGAATGGTGCGTCCATAAACGCATTTTGGAGTAAAGGCGCACCCTATGCCTGTGGCAGCCACCCATTTCAGTAACACGCACTCGTAAATTATCACTCAAATAGGTCTAAAATTAGTTGTAATCGAGGTGTTGTTTGGATCAGAATGTCCATCATATACAAAAACAATAATTAAAACGACATTATTGTGATATCAATATTTTGTATCATGTAGAAGCTATGGAGGTCCCTAAAAGTAATAGGATAGTCAAGTATGAAATCATATTAATATATTATATCTAGGCTATTTCAAACTAAAGACCATGGGCTAACAGTTTATATTTAGCCTACGTATAGTGTTTATAACTTTCTAGGCATATTTGACCTTTTGAAAAATATCAAATTTGATACAATGTAAATAATGGTCTCTGAAGTTTGTTAATTTGGATCCCCAATAGCTGTGCCAAAACACAATAGCTAACAAAACCTCATACATACAGTAAGTTGGCTTGCTTCACTGTTGTTGAATGGGCATAACCTCTTGACATGAAGGATGGTTGCTATTGCCAAATGAATTTCCAAAGATGTCATCATGACCCAAGACTGCTTTCTGCACTGTATCAAAGCAGGTCAACAATGTGTTGGCATTATGGAGCTACAATATCTTTTGCGCCTTATTACCATCCTTCACAGTATCAACATCAAATATTCATGGTTGTAATATTTTCAATTTTTCTCGCTATTGAAAAGATTACCAAACTAAGGCCATTTTGGCACTGTGTCCTATGTCCCCGTGTTTACAGCCTACACATATTTTTAGATTTCAATCTAATTTGTAAAGGTTGGATTATTTCAAAGGTTGATCCAAACTCACACACCTGTCTTGTTTTCTTTCAGCTTCCTTCATAGGAACTGAGTCTAAGATGAAGTTATGGGATGTTTTGGCCACGTGTTTGTTGCTCCTGAGCTCCGTCTCCACACGCCCCCTCTACCAAAACCTTCAGCCAGCCAAGAGAGCTCACTACTCGGATTGGTACAGTGATTCTCTGTCCCTGTCTGTGGAGGAACCAGAGCCAGAGTTCCAGTCAGAGTCTCACAGCCTGCAGGAAATCTCCATGGAGGATAAATGTAAGTCAAGAATCTGATAGTGTTTTATCACCTGCTGAAGTGTGAGTCAAATATACTTTCTTCTGATTAAAGCTACAATTCTTGGTTGCTACATCCATTTTTGGACTTGATATATACCCATTGATTTTTGGAGAATATAACTTATAAATGCCTCATGAGCTTAGTTCAACTGTCATACCCCATCAGAGCCCAAAATATAAGCTTGTTTTACATTGTAAACAATGTAAATGTAAACAAACACTGTATAGCCACAAAGCGTGGTTTAGATCATGGATGGTCAGTCCTTGTATCCATAGCTCTGTATATTAATTTGAGAGTGCTTACGTTTCTCCAGGCCAATCCAGCTTTTTACCAAAACAGAGGCGGGGTCTGCTTTGTTATTAATTCAATTAAGGACTCTAGCTTTAAGATCAGACTGTGTTCTAGAAAAGGATTCTCTTATAGAAGACTAATAAAGTTGCTTGATGAGGCTCTGTTGCAAAACCATAGCCATAAAGTGACTGCAGTACTCAGTACTCAATTGGCTCTCAGTTCCTTGAAGTGTATATGGGTTTGAAGAGGGTGACAAAAAACGGCCGCTGGAAATGCACATTCAACATACCATTTATGGTTTGGTACTTAGTTTGTTAAAAGGCCTGATTACCAAAACAAACGTGGTATACTCAGCCCAAACATGTAACCCAAACCTTAGAGAGGATAGATATATGTTTATGTGATGGCCATAGGTTGCCATGTGTTCCGTATTGCACATACAGTATTATGTGTTTTAAATAGAGTACCAGTGACCCCTGGTAGGAACAGGCTCTCCTCAGGTTCACACTTGGGTTAAAGTCTTGCAAGCCATGGCCTTTTGCTCTGGATCATATTGTAGCAACTAGCAAGGCAAGCATATCCCAAATAAAGGGACAACAGTCAATGTAATTGAGGGCTGATTTTTGAAGGGCACTTCAACTGAGGCACCCATGGGGCCAGACCAGTCATTGATAAATCCTGATGACTACCTAGTTCGAAGCAGTTTGTCTAACAGCAGGTTTAATTAAACAGCTTTCTCTACTGCTGCGGGTAGCATCACGCTGATGGTAAAAACATCCATGCGGCAGAAGGAGCAAGAAATAGTGACTGCGGCTCCTCAGTCCCAAACACAGAGGTTAGCGCTGACATTCCTTTTACTTGTTTATCTTCAACCCCGTCTCTCTGGGACTGCAGGACCTGTTCCCTCTCCCTGTCAGGAAAACATAGCGTGTTGTGTTTTATCCCAAACCAAGTTAGAGTAGAGGAACATGGAAACAGATGCCGATCACAGGAGAAAGACTGGACAATACGGCAGAGTCAAAACCAAGAAGGGAGCGCACAATATTGTGTTTAGGTTCATTTTAGCAGCTTCGAGGGCATGGAATTCCATTTGTTTAAAAGAACATAACACTGTCTTGACTTTACACAGTAGTAAACTGTGCAGCGCTCTAGATAAGGCATGGAACATTTAGAACAGATAAATGTTTTTCCCCTCACCTCATATTCGGTTAGCAGAGGTGAGTGACATCACCTCAGCCTGTTCTGTAACTTAAGACCATTAACAATGCACCAAGGTGTAAACATCCCTGGAACTCAATGGGAGGTTTGGCCTTTTGTTTCGGGTGCGATGTCTGTGGTAAGCGATGAATCTTGTACCCGTTCCAAGTAACCTTTGGAGGCAAGTGTCTCTGCAGCTGATCCACTGCCTCTAGAGATACTTGTGTCTGCAGGACAGAAAATGTGCACAAGGCTTCTGGTGCATGCTCCACTAGGCTAGAAAACGATGTGAAGTGAAGTTTTTAATAAACAAATATTTGTTTACCTTGTCAGGACTTCACTTTGTTCTCAGTGGAGCGTTGCACTGTCAGACTTCAGAACTGATCTCTAAATCATAACAAACATGATTCTGGATAACATTTGAAACAGGTGCATTGGAGAGCCGGGAGGTGTTGCTGTGGTTTGGGCTGTTTTGCTGTGGAACAATTCTGTCTGTCAGCTAGCGTAGAATAGGAGCTATCCCTGTCTATTCTATTGTCTATCAGCTGATAGCCACACAATAGAAGGTGTTTAAATCAAAGGGCACAGGGTGTCTAAACAGATTGGTCCCTGGCTCACCCGATACCGCCGCGACGGCCCAAATCAGCCGTGGAGCTGGGTGGATCAGATGACCTGTACCCTGACAGTGGGACAGGTGAGACAGGTGATACCCAACGGCAAAAAGAGGCTGGGTTACTGACACCTCCACCTGCCAGACAGACAGACTACACAACCTGCCTGGGTGCCCTGTGCCCACCACACACAGGCCAGTCAACTGAGGCCTGGAGTAATCATGCCAAGGCCAGCTTTACTAACCCCACCTCCACCAACTGAATACACAGACACACAAAGGTAGCCACAAACACACATTAAAACATCAAAAAACATCATACACCTGACATTGATATTGGGTAATATGATTAGTGTCATACTAATTGAGTCATTTAACAATAATGTTTTCTGTGATCTTCTGAGTGGGTTGCCAGATGTTTAAGCGATGCGGAGAAGGAGCAGGAGGGAGTTTACACTATAATGGAATCAACGTGTATTACATGAGGATCAAAGGGCACTCTGGGGTTTTGTTCCGCTCTGCAGATGGCGGAGGGCTTCCTGCATGTTTTGAATTTGAAATAGAATAAGTGCTGAAGAGAGATGAAATCTGCTCTCTCCATGTCACAATCCATATGATTCCATTCTAGTGGTACTTTGAAGCTCTGATACAGTATTTTAAAAGGGAAAGAGAAGGTGGTCTGTTCCAAGAAGTATAACTAGGATTACTAAGAAATATTAAAACAATCTTCTGTATGGCACTGTCAACTGTTACAGTTATTGAAGCATTGCTACCTTGTTACGGGGATACTCATTATTGATTTAACATTCAAATTGCTGCCATTACTATTTTTACTTATATTATTTATTACTACAGTATATGTTGTGACTTTATTGCATTTACTTTACTATTTCCTCTTTGCATCCTCTGTCTTTTACAGATGATATCACAGGCCCATATCCGGACCAGTTTGATGATGTGATGGATTTTATCAAGGCTACCATTGGCAGACTGAGGAGATCATCAGAGCCCACCGGCGGCTCAAGGGGAAGGAGGGAGCAGAGAGAGCAGGAGAGACAGAGAGGAGCAGCAAACACAGACCGAGGAGGAGGAGAAGGAAGAGGAGAGGGGAGAGGAGGACGGGCGAGAGGAGGACGCGCAGAGAAGAAGAAGGGTCGGGGGCGAGGGGGCAAAGGGAGGAGCAGTGAAAGAGGGGGGCAGCGGACGAAGCCGGTTGAAGGCCGTGGCTGCTTGCTAAAAGAGGTCCATCTCAACGTAACAGACTTAGGTCTGGGCTACCAGACCAAAGAGGAGCTGATCTTCCGGTACTGCAGCGGCCCCTGTTCGGACGCAGAGACCAACTATGACAAGATCCTCAACAACCTCACCCACAACAAGAAGCTGGTCAAGGACATACCTTCCCGCACCTGCTGTCGACCAATCACCTTTGATGATGACCTGTCATTCCTGGATGACAACAACGAGGACTACCACATTCTGCAGAAGCATTCCGCCCGCAAATGTGGTTGTGTTTGACTCTGGGAGAGATGAAACGAGAGATGAAACGAGAGAGAGAGAGAGAGAGAGAGAGAGAGAGAGAGAGAGAGAGGCAAATGGCTGACAGACATAAATGAAGGGAGCAGTGACATAAACACAGTGGAGAAAAACGGAACATGAGACGGATACAGTTCACTCCAGTGGTGTCTTAGGACCCATGGCCAGTGTTAGCATGTCCTGTCCTACTCCTGAGAAGCTGCAGTGGGGTGAACAGGGATGGTGTAGTCCCCAAACCTCCAGTGATTAAGCTGATCTAGAGCCCAAGTCAGGTCACAGTGGAGAAGGGATTCCTCCATGCTCTAATGACAAATTTGACTGACATTAAATTACATTGAAATTCAGCTTAACAGCCAATAAAAGAGACATTGTCAATTCAGCTCAGTATTCATTTCATGATTGGATCACGTCCTTGGAGGCCTACATGGATACTCTCATTTACCTGTTGAACCATGCTGTTAAACTCAAAGGCTTACCTGCAATGGAGTTGGTGAGACAGAACCAGACAGAGGAACTCTGGATATTGTAAGCTGGTCTGTTCCTTCAAATGTCAGCTTCTCCTGGGAGCACCTATTTTCCCAGGAATGTAGTCAGCTCCTGAGGCTCACAATGAGAGCAGACCTGGTCCTTATGAGTATTTTTAGCTGCAGTCCAGTGTGTTCTGGTTCCACTGCACAGACTGGAGCTTAAAGTTTACATTCACAATGAACGAGGGAACGGGAGAAAGAAAGTAGAGAGAACTCTTAAACCTGTTGACTGGCTTAGTCCTACAGCAGAGACAAACTGTCTGGTACGACACATCAATGTCAAATCCCAAATATTTAGAATTATATATGAGATGTATTTATTAAGATTGAATTAATTTATTATTGTTATTTATTGCAGTCCATTTTATGATTTTTTTTCCTTATTTATTTGAGCTTTGTTTTGTCCTGGATAGTGCCAAAGCAGAGCATGTGTTTTCTAAGGGAAATCAGATTGTGCTGAAACAACCGGATTCAAGGTGCAGCCATAACTAATCAAATGTATCCTTTTGTTTCAAAACGCTGTACAGTTTGTATCTGTAATCCATGGTAGTTAATCCTAAACCCACTGCTGATTCCAAAACATCATGGATTTATGAGAATAACATAAGGTATCAGGTTTAGGGAGGGAAAGCAGAGAAAAAGAAAGACAATTTCAACCCTTTTCAAAACAAAAAAATCTTATCACCGTCTTTGACAGTGTTCCTCATTTGTCACTAATGGAAAGCAGAGAGGATGGAGCGGCCTGGGACATTAGGGGCTCAGGGCCGGGGAGAGACCATTGAGCTGCTCCTCACTCCTCCTTACTCTAACAAAGTAAAGGGGTAAACAGACTTCTGGCAAATGCATGGCATGCCATTATATGTTTACAAAGGAGCATACAAACCCTGCTTTCTTGTTTTTCTAAAGACAGAATAAAGTCGTACTGCAGGTGGTTATCTCAGAGCTGTGCATCTTTCCCTACAATGATACTCCCCACATTAATTTGACATCATCTTCTTTTATAGACAGAATAACAAAAGGACCTCATTGTTAGAGGGGGCTACAGTACAGGTTGGATATGGGCAGCCTCCAGGTCCACTGCTTTCAACGCACTTGCATTCTCTTTCTATCACACCATTTTCAAAGTAATGTGTTACTGAATGCTTTACAAAAGACCACAACAAAATCGTACAGAAAATCTCTGATATCATAGTGAAAACCTTGAGACTAGTGTCCGTTGGCCATCACAGTGCAGAAGTTGATGGTATTCATGTATTGCTTGGTTGCCAGGGTCTTATATCTCAACCGTTCAGCCTGGTCCTGGCTCTACACCAAGTCTGGGGCAAAGTCTTTGTAGTGGTTACTGTCCCAGTAGGCTTTAGCGTTCCTGGGAGTGTCTCTGTCTCTTTTGTCTCTGCTCTGACATACACACAGTTCTTTCTCACTGATCTGGGGTTAGTTTGAAAACGATCCTCTAACATGCAGCTTAGCCCACTACTCCCACTGGCAAAGGCACCCCAGTGTTTAAAACCATTTAAGGGAGATCTGGCTCTGTCTCTCTTAGCCAAGCCGACATACATGTCTTAGGGCCAGACAGTACAACAAAGAGAGAGTGACATAGTTTGTGACATTACTGAAGGGGAGAGAGGGGAGCACTAGGATAACCAGGCATTCTCAGTGTGAGCACTATTCAGCATACCATCAATACTCACCCAAAACAACTACTAAACAGAAAGGAACACTAACAGAGGAATCTTTCAAAGCATATTACTACAGTACTATGCCCTTGTCCCATGTTCATAGAGAGGAGCTTTTGAGTGAAACCCAGAGAAAGGGAGCTCCAGAGCTGGCCTTGACGTTAGCATGGATTATGGACCAGAGTATCTGTGCTCACCCAACAGAAACCAAGCCAGTTTTAGTCCCATAATCCCCCCAGCACACAAAACAAATCCACGGCATCAAGATGAATTTAGGCCAAACACTGTCAGAAAGATTGACCAATTTAATCACAGCATGCTTTTATAAATTAGATCATCTTCCCCTTTAATAACTGATTTCGGTGTAAGCCTTTCCAGCAGCCTCTTGGGTCCTCACCCTTATGTATGTTACTTTAAAGTGTGTGTGAATTGTGATTGACCACTCCCCCTCTGTCTTTACATATGGTTGTTTACTCAACTGTCAGTGTTCTTTTCCTGTGTGTTCATAACTCCGGCAGTTATTTTGTGAAGGTAAAGTGTGTGTAAAGGTAGCGGAATCTCCATTGCACACACCAGGCAGAAAGGATAGCACTATTTGTTTTCAGACCCATGTTTGTGTTATGATCGCCTCTGTGAAAGAAAAGGTGTAATGTCTCACTTTTTTTGTGTTACTGAACCAAAGCTCTCAGAAAACTTTATTTTTGTACAATATTCATTTTATAACTTTTTACAGAATTAAACTCATTTTTATCAAAATGTCTGTCTGATGGCTATTGAATACTAAATGCTTGTTGCTTCAGTGAGCTGTAGAATCTGAAAAACATTAGCAGGTTCTCGCCAGCAAGAAAGGTCTTCATAACACATTTGTGGAGAAAATAAAGAGAAAACAGCCTGTTTTGAGACTAAGCAAGGTGAGTGCAAAAGTATTTCTCATTGTGGAATAATTTATCCTCTTGTTGGAGGTTGCCATCAGCACTTGAAGTTAGGGCAGCGGGAGGTTTGAGGGTTGTATGGAGGGTCATATGAGTGGGTGGTTGAGGGTTGTAGGTGTGTGTAGGGGGTCGTAGGACTGGATTAGAGAGAGGAGATAGAGGCTCTCTAGTGCTTTACTCCCTCGTGTTGTGCATTCCTGAACGCTGGCCCAGGTTTGTACGGTAAACAAAAGCTTGCTGTAAAGTGATACCATGCTGTAAATCGAGGCACTCAGGGGGAATGTTTCCACCGTGCAGAGAAGATATGTAAACGCTGATGAGAAAATGGCACAGTTGGCCAGGCGGAGTGAGTCAGTCAACTTCTGCCGGTGTGTATACACCTCAAGGTTTATGCACCTCGATTTTTCCAGTGGATAAAATGAAAGCACTGATTATGTACACACAACTGTCCTGTGAGGATCAAGACTTCAGGCCTGGATTATCGGCCAACCAGATTCCTTTAGTCCAAAACCTGCCCCTCTCTTGAACTATTGGCGGCAAGGAGAGGGGGACAAACTTGAGACCAAGACAGAGGAGAGATTTGATCCTCTGACTTCTCCATGGCTTATACGGGCTGTAGTGCCAAACAGAGCCCCAACACACCCTTTGCTCACTACTAAAGGAGGCAAGATGATCACACTGGGCATGGGTGGACTGTGACATCACCCACAGCTCTCCAGCATTCTAACATTCTGGCATTCCCGGGCCGGTAACAGACACTGCAGGAGCCAGTGGCTGGTGACATCACCATTCGGAATAGTAGTGCTGGGCAGGAGGATTAGGCCTTAGGCGGTTGGCTATGCCACGCTCCTTTGGGAGTCATTACGGCTTTCAGGACGTTTTAGGCTTTTTCATGGCGATCTGGCCACAACCCAGATAATGAGCAGCTTTCGAGGATTTGTGTTTTGAACACTCTTTCTAGTCCAGATCTCTTGGGATGATTGTTTGTGTAGGCCAAAGCACAGCACACCCTGTGCTATTTGATTCACTAAGAAGGAAAGACAAATCAAACCCTTTCAGTCACACCGGTGAAAGACAACTGACACTTTATAAAAACACAATAGTAGTGTTTGTCGATACTGAATAGTCTTCTCAATCCCTCACAACTGTTTGGTGGGTTAACCAGAGGCTACATTCGAGGGGATTGTAATGAACACAAACATGTGATCCATGAACTGTATGACATAGCTTTTTCTGTCACACTTAGGACAACACTTCTGACTTTCGTCACCATCTAGTTTCTGGGTGAGGCGAAAGGAAGTGATTAAAGGATATTTTAAACATTTCTAGCTATGCAGCGCTAACACATTTGGGTGGCCATAACCATACATATGGTGTAACAACTTGTTACCCATATAGTTATATTGTGTATGTATAACAGATATATTACCTGCTCATATGGACAGAAACATAAACTTCTAATCAATTCATAGCCCCAAACTATTCTCCAAAATGACCGATTGTAAGTTATACCACATGGCATGGAGTTTTCTTGGTATTTCCGATCATTCATTTTCATGCAAAATGTTCACTTTTCCCATCAATATTTAGGAATGTTTGAGTCCTGCAAGTGAAACGGCGCACTAGAAATAACATCTAAATAAATATTTATTTGAAGGAGTGACTCACCAAAAGACACACATGCATGTCCTTCAGTCTACGACTAAGACTGAGTGGACGTCTAAGAGGGTGAACTCTCTGATAGAATCCATCTTGATCTGGTTTCTAAGTGGAGGATATTGCATCACAATACAATCTTGATCTGGGTTGATCTTGGACTCTACAGGTCCAAAGACAATGTTATAAGCATCAATGAGATTAGGTAAAATGAGGTAAAAGTACACACTGCAAGTGTGATTTGGATAAATTATCCCTTTAATTACTGTTCCTCAGGAGATCATAAACGGCACTACATTTGATTCAAGTACAGTAAAGTACAAAAACATGCACATACGCATATACAAACACACCTGTGCACACTCTCGTACACTCGCACAAACACACACACACACAAATGGGTTGCTGTGGCTCAGATCTTGCGTTTCTTCCACTCTGGTTCCTTGTCAGCCTCTTCATCCGACTCTTCCTCCACTTGAAAGATGGCATCTGGTTGGGTCCTGGCAGAACATAGGGAGGTGGGGAGACAACTTACTACACATCTTTTACTTTGGTACAGTACAATACATCCATCCTTATTCAATACAAATAAGAGGGTCGTATTCAGGGTCAACGCTCAACAGAAAATGAAACAGATGCAGGAGATAGATGGGACAAGATAAAGAGAGTGGATAAAGGGAGGAATAGTGAAAGGGAAAGGACATAAACCATTGCGGCAGGACAGGATGAGATTAAACCATTTCCCTATTTGTATCACTCTGTCTATTCCGAGCAGTGATTAAAAGCCAACATCTGTCCTGTGTGAGTTAAGGAGGGGACGTGCCACACACTCATAGAAATGTACACAGATATACGCGAAAAACACACACTTGCACACATTCGGTTAGACTATAGGAAGGAGTACGGAAATTATGAATATGCTCTTCCAAAACCTCCACTAGTTCCAGCACCTCCTAAAACACCTGCAGTATGCCTCCTACTCTGTGACTCATCCTAAGGATGTTTTATAGACAACACCCTCGCTTCCAGAACATTCTTCCAGGTCATTCAATGATCAGGTGAGAGAGTTGTAACGCAATATTCACCCTGTTCTGTCTCGTGTGTGTTCTGATACCAGAGATAACTCATTAAAGCAGCCCAACAAAGGGAGTAACAGGATCATTTGGTCATGAATGTCACAGTACCCAAGTGCTACAATGCGTCTCATTAGTGTCAACATTCCAATTAGCAGTGGTAATGAGTGATCTCCCCATACTAGGTGGATCAGCTGAGCCAGGCCACTCAGATGAGAGGCTCCAGGTAGGGTTACATGGATCAGGGTGTTTTCTTAGGCCAGACTAGACCTTATGGCACCTTGGAGTGTCTTACCCTACTGACTACAACACTCAATACTTCCTAAGCACACATACACAGTGCCTTCGGAAAGTATTCAGACCCCTGACTTTTTCCACATTTTGTTACGTTACAGCCTTATTCTAAAATTGATTAAATCGTTTTCCCCCCCTCATCAATCTATACACAATACCCCATAATGACAAAGCAAAAACAGGTTTTTAGAAATGTGTGCACAAAAACGAACAAAAATAAACATCACATTTAAATAAATATTCAGACCCTTTACTCAGTACTTTGTTGAAGCACCTTTGGCAGCAATTACAGCCTAGCGTCTTCTTGGGTATGACACTACAAGCTTGGCACACCTGTATTTGGGGAGTTTCTCCCATTCTTTTCTGCAGATCCTCTCAAGCTCTGTCAGGTTGGATGGGGAGCGGGTTCCAGACCGGGCTCTGGCTGGGCCACTCAAGGACATTCAGAGACTTGTCCCGAAGCCACTCCTGCGTTGTCTTGGCTGTGTGCTTAGGGTTGTTGTCCTGTTCACCCCAATCTGAGGTCCTGAGCGCTCTGGAGCAGGGTTTCATCAAGGATCTCTCTGTACTTTGCTAGGTTAATCTTTTCCTCGATCCTGACTAGTCTCCCAGTCCCTGCTGCTGAAAAACATCCCCACAGCATGATGCTGCCACCACCATGCTTCACCGTAGGGATGGTGCCAGGTTTCCTCCAGACGTGACGCTTGGCATTCAGGCCAAAGAGTTCAATCTTGGTTTCATCAGACCAGAGAATCTTGTTTCTCATGGTCTGAGAGTCTTTAGGTGCCTTTTGGCAAACTCCAAGCGGGCTGTCATGTGCCTTTTACTGGGGAGTGGCTTCCGTCTGGCCACTTTACCATAAAGGCCTGAATGGTGGAGTGCTGCAGAGATGGTTGTCCTTCTGGAAGGTTCTCCAACCTCCACAGAGGAACTGGAGCTCTGTCAGAGTGACCATCGGGTTCTTGGTCACCTCCATGACCAAGGCCCTTCTTCCCCGATTGCTCAGTTTGGCAAGACTAGGAAGAGTCTTGGTGGTTCCAAACTACTTCCATTTAAGAATGATGGAGGCCACTGTGGTCTTGGGGACCTTCAATGCTGCAGACATTTTTTGGTACCCTTCCCCAGATCTGTGCCTCGACACAATCCTGTCTCGGAACTCTACAGACAATTCCTTCGACCTCATGGCTTGGTTTTTGCTCTGACATGCCCTGTCAACTGTGGGACATTATAGAGACAGGTGTGTGCCTTTCCAAATCATGTCCAATCAATTGAATTTACCACAGGTGGACTCCAATCAAGTTTGAGAAACATCTTAAGGATGATCAATGGAAACAGGATGCACCTGAGCTCAATTTCGAGTCTCATCGCAAAAGGTCTGAATACTTATGTAAATAAGTAAAATTTCTAAAAACCTGTTTTCGTTTTGTCATTATAGGGTATAGTGTGTAGATTGATGAGGAAAAAATGAATTTAATAAATTTTAGAATAAGGCTGTAACGTAACAAAATGTGGAAAAAGTCAAGGGGTCTGAATACTTTCCGAATGCACTGTAACTGCCAAAATAAAGGAAACACTCGAGTAAACGAGGGCCACAAAGTATATTGAAAGCAGGTCCTTCCACACAGGTGAGTTAATTAAGCAATTAACATCCCATCATGCTTAGGGTCATGTACTGTATACAAATGTCCAGTTGCCCATTATTTTGGCTACCATGGCTAAAAGAGATCAGGGACTTTGAAATAAGGGTCTCAAAGGAGCATAGGGGGTTAGTGTGTGTGTATGTGTGTGTGTGTGTGTGTCTCAGTCACCATATCTCAACCCAATTGAACACTTATGGGAGACAGCGTTTTCCACCACTATCAACCATCATTTTCATCCCATTCTGGAACTTTGAGGATTTATGACATAGCCCCTCTAGTAAATAGAAGGATTTCTATGGTCGCATCCCTCCAATAGAGTTCCAGACACTACGCCAAGGCGCATTGAAGCTGTTCTGGCGGCTCGTGGTGCCCCAATGCCCTATTAAGACACTTTATGTTGGGGTTTCCTTTATTTTGGCAGTTACCTGTACCTGTATGGATGACGATGAAGAGGATGATTATAATGATGACAAACTCTCCATAACTCCTGAGTGGCGCAGCGGTCTAAGGCACCGCATCTCAGTGCTAGAGGCGTCACTACAGACCCTGGTTTGATTCCAGGGTGTATCACAATCCGGCCGTGATTGGGAGTCCCATAGGGCGGCGCACAATTGGCCCAGCGTCGTCCGGGGTAGGCCGTCATTGTAAATAAGATATTGTTTTTAACTGACTTGCCTAGTTAAATAAAGGTTAAATAAAAATAAAAACTAATCTCTGCACCTGTCCACTGGTGAGGTGATAAGCTATTGACAGACAATCCATTGGGATTGTGTCGCTATAATTAGACTGATGCATAATGCATGTGAACTCCCAAACAAGCAGAGACCAGAGCCAAGAGTGGTGTGACTGTTGCTATTGTTCACAGAGGGCCAAACCGGGGCCAGGCTACACTCTAGAGCAATAGCCATCAACACGAGGGAATCTCTCTCAGGGGAGTGACCTATTCTTACACCTGGTCATTTTGGATTTAGATCATTAAAGGTAAAACTGTGAACCTCAATAAGTTCATTCACCCATTTACTGTGCCAACTAAAATACTGTGAGCTTATCTCCTGCCAAACACCCTGCCATGAATTACATTGATATGGGCCTGCTCATATCATCAAGGGGTCCGATACGTCTACAGATGAATGTGGAAGTCTTCCTTCAACACCTTTAGATCCTCAGCCAAGAATAGCCCCGTCCTTTAGCCAGCGTGTCTGTGGACACTGAGGTGAAACACAAGCCCTCTCAGGTAGCTGATTGGTAGTTGGTGGGCCTCCAGACCTAGGCTGCAGCATGCAGCTCTTTAAACATTCATGTGTCACCCAGCCAGCCAGGCAGGAAGGCTGCAACCTTAGCACAGCCACACTGCCATTAAACTATACCCACTGCAGACACACCTTACAGCCTGTGTCATCCCAGGAGTGTGTGTGTGTGTGTGTGTGTGTGTGTGTATGGCCAGTCTTACTTGCTGTAGGCAGGGGCGACCCAGTAGGGGTTTTCGGAGGCCTCCTTGGCGTGTCGGAGAATGGCCTGGCGAGGATTGCTATCGTCTGTTTTGTCCAGAGCAATGTTCTTCACAATGAAGGAGGACAGAGTGCCTCCATGGGCTGCCACACGACCACCCCGACCTGAGGAAACGAGGACCACTGGGTTAGGAACACACATAACTCATACACAAGCACAGACAGTCAGGCAGGCAGACACAGACAGATACACTAGCAAAAGCATACCACCAAACATAGATGAAAAAAGTCTCACACTAATTTTGTGACAGGCAAGGAAACACATTCCTCTTGCTCCAAAACATACACACATGAGAACGTTAGGAAAAACATCCTCATCTCCGTAAGATAGTATTTATGTTTTGTTTAAACATGGACTGGCACACACACACACACACAGTGAGGCCAGCTGAAAAAGGAGACTCCAGTGATATCCTGTCTCAGTGGTGTGTTGGTGTCAGAGGTGGCTGTTAGGGGAGGGTGAAGGAGGTCCTCTTGCAAGCACCCAGCCAAAACCCCAAACACTACACAGTACTTTTAAGAGTAGTTTAATCAGGATGATAAACACAGTACAGTGAATTAGACATGTCATTCTCACTCTCCTTCTTTCTTCCTCACTCTCCTTCTCAAGGAAGAAGATATGTGAAATTTCAAGAGAAAAGCTGGGGTGCAAACTTCTCTCAAAGCATCACAGCTAAACAGACAGCTGGGAGACATTTAGTGCCACACCTCAGCTTATTGAGGGAGGGTCAGGTAGCGTGTGAGTTTGTGTGATAGAAGTTGACCGTATGCAGCGTGGACATAGGAGTTCACCTTAGTGCAGCAGTAGGACTAGGCAGTTTGGGAAATGAGACAGTGGCCAAACGTGTTAGGAGTGAAAAGCCCATAGGGGCTTAGAGTGAAATGCATTTATCATAGCGTGAAAATCTATACTGTTGTGTGACCCTGAACTGCAGCTGTATTACTGTAGAAAATCTAATCTAGTGAATGAGTGGCTTTGGATGAATGTGTCTGCTGTCTGGTAAGCAAAGAATGATTGAGTCAATTCATTTCAAGAGGAAAAACACTTCCAACAGTCAAGCCCCTGGATGCACCTGCCTTGGTTTAGAAGTGTTCCTACCACCAGTAATAAGACTAGTAGACAGATGTAGTGGTGGTATTGATTGAGTAACATTAATAACAGTAGATATATGTAGTGGTATTTAACTGCCAAAATAAAGGAAACACCAATATAAAGTGTCTTAATAGGGCGTTGGGCCATCACGAGCCGCTAGAACAGCTTCAATGTGCCTTGGCAAAGATTCTCCAAGTGTCTGGAAGGATGTGACACCAGTCTTCCACAAGAATTTCCATCATTTGGCGTGTTATTGATGGTGAAAAACGCTGTCTCACGCGCCGCTCAAGAATCTCCCATACTGTAAGTGTTCAATTGGGATGAGATCTGGTGACTGAGACGGCCATGGAATATGGTTTACATTGTTTTCATGCTCATCAAACCATTCAGTAACCACCTGTGCCCTGTGGATGGGGGCATTCTCATCCTGGAAGAGACCACTCCCATCAGGATAGACATTCTTCACCATAGGTTAAAGGCGATATACCGTTTATACTGTATACCCGGGGTATTTCGAAATACAGACGGTATGATTTTCAAGACTAAAAAAAATATTGTTAGACCGAGAATCGTCTGATTGGCAACATTTTTAAACGTGTATTTTTCCATATACAGTTCCTTCAGAAAGTATTCATACCCTTGACTTATTCCAAATGTTGTTGTGTTAGTCTGAATTAAAAACGGATTAAAGATGATTTTGTTTTACCCATCTACACACAACACCTCATAATGACAAAGTGAAAACATGTTTTTAATATTTTTTGCAAATTTATTGACAATTAAATACAGAAATATAAGTATTCACACCCTAGAGTCAATACGTTGTAGAAGCCCATTTGGTGGCGATAACAGCTGTGAGCCTTTTGGGGTAAGTCTCTAAGAGCTTTGCACACCTGGAATGTGCAATATTTGCCCATTATTATTTTTTTAATTCTTCAAGCTCTGTTAAGTTGATTGTGGATTACATTTACATAATTTAGCAGACGCTCTTATCCAGAGCGACTTACAAATTGGTGCATTCAACTTATGATAGCGAGTGGGACAACCACTTTTTTATTATTATTATTATTTAGTTTTTACTTCTACGATCATTGCTATAGCGCCATTTTCAGGACTTCTCATAGATTTAAGTCAAAAATGTAACTCGGCCACTCAGGAACATTGAATGTCGTCTTGGTAAGCAACTTGGCCTTGTGTTTTAGGTTATTGTCCTACTGAAAGGTGAATTAGTCTCCCAGTGACTGTTGGAAAGAAGACCGAACCAGGTTTTCTCTAGGATTTTGCCTGTGCTTATAGCTGTATTTCATTTCTTTTTATCCTAAAAAACTCCCTAGTCCTTACTGATGACAAGCATACCCATAACATGATGCAGCCACCACTATGCTTGAAAATATGAAGAGTGGTACTCGTGATGTGTTGTGTTTGCTCCAAACGTAACGCTTTGTATTCAGGACAAAAAGTCCATTTCTTTGCCCAATTTTTTTTTGCAGTGTTACTTAAGTACCTTGTTGCAAACAGGATGCATGTTTTGGAATGTTTTTATTCTGTATAGGCTTTCTACTTTTCACTCTGTCATTTAGGTTAGTATTGTGGAGTAACTACAATGTTGATGGTCCATCCTCAGTTCTCATATAACAACCATTAAAAATTCTGTAACTGTTTTAAAATCACCATTGGCCTCATGGTGAAATCCCTGAGCAGTTTCCTTCCTCTCCAGCAACTGAGTTAGGAAGGACGCCTGTATCTTTGTAGTGACTGGGTGTATTGATACACCATCCAAAGCCTAATTAATAACTTCACCATGTTCAAAGGGATATCCAGCATCTTCTTTTTTAAATTATTATTATTATTTTTACACATCTACCAATACGTGCCCTTCTTTGTGAGGCATTGGAAAACCTCCCTGGTCTTTGTGGTTGAATCTGTGCTTGAAATTCACTACTCGATTGAGGGATCTTACATTTTGAATTAATTTCTAAAAATTACAGGGTATTTTGAGGAAGGCCCTCAAAATTGTCAAAGACTCCAGCCACCCTAGTCATAGACTGTTCTCCCTGCTACCGCACGGCAAGCGGTACCGGAGTGCCAAGTCTAGGTCCAAAAGACTTCTCAACAGCTTCTACCCCCAAGCCATAAGACTCCTGAACAGCTAATCATGGCTACCCGGACTATTTGCACTGCCCCCCCACCCCATCCTTTTTACGCTGCTGCTACTCTGTTAATTATTTATGCATAGTCACTTTAACTCTACCCACATGTACATATTACTTCAACTATCTCAACTAGCCGGTGCCCCCGCACATTGACTCTGCACCGGTACCCGCCTGTATATATAGCCTCCCTACTGTTATTTTATTTTACTTCTGCTCTTTTTTTCTCAACACTTTTTTTGTTGTTGTTTTATTTTTACTTCTTTTGTTAAAAATAAATGCACTGTTGGTTAAGGGCTGTAAGTAAGCATTTCACTGTAATGTCTGCACCTGTTGTATTCGGCGCATGTGACCAATAAAATTTGATTTGATTTGAAATTAGTGACACAAAAGCTAAATGTAATCAATTTTAAATTCAGGCTTTAACACAACAAAATGTGGAAAAAGCAAAGGGTTGTGAATACTTTAAGGCACTGTATAATATATATGCGTGTATGTAGTGGTATTTTCCATGTAACGTTACCTGGTCCAGTGACAGGGGGCTCAGGCTTGTGGGATTTCATTGGGTCCAGTCTGTCTTTCTCCAGCTGTTTCTTAGTGCTGCGCTGCCGGGCCTCGCGGAACATGGGAAGAGCATGGGCTGGCGGGAGAGAGGAAATTAGAAAATATGAGAGAGAGAGAGAGAGAGAGAAGGGGGAGATATAGAAAAAGAGTAGAAAACACAGACATTAACAAACACTTCAACAAGCCTAAGTGCAGAGCATAGCATAAAAGCCATATACTCAAACACACCAAGTGACCTCTGGCGAGGTCTATAGTACTCTGCGTACTGCCATGTTGGACACCAACATTATCACGTCCATGTTTATATTGACACAGCTACGTTTCACAGTTCGCTGAACACCACCACAATGCATGCCTTGGCCACTTTACAGCAAAGTGAGTGTTCTATGTCTAAACTTGAGTTATTGTGTGTGTGTCCCCAACAGTATGTGTACGCTTGTATAACTGAGTAAGTACCAGTGTGTGTGTGTGAGTCTGTCATGTGTGTTTCCTCAGGGATTACAAAGAGACACAGTGTGGGCTAGATGAAGTGATTTTCCATTCAGGAGCCCCTGTTGTCACTGCTCAGTGTTAATTCTTCTCCTCCATGCTACATTAAGCAAAAAGGTTAATGTTAACAGATTCCCACTCTTTTCTCAATGGGCCATCGCCACGCTTCCTGTCCCCTCTAATTTTCCAGCACTAGGGCACAAGTGCGTCATTCAGCGACCGTGGCCATCAGACACCGGCATATACTCTCACAGCTTGTCGGCGTGGCGATGAAACCACATGATGGATATTAGAAAGGGTTCTGTCGCCTAAACAATAAGCTATGTTTCCCTCCTAGTCTATCACGGCTCAGCCAGGTGTCTGGTCCTCCAGTTACTGTTCATCCATTACCTCAGTGGGAGTGAAAGAGTCTTATGTATGAGGTTAAGAGTGCCACGCATTGTCCATGCACAGTGCAGCTGAGAGACTCATGTGTGGAAATGACAGACTGGCTGGGTTAAAGACTGGTCAAGTGTGGTGGGTTGTAGGGAAGGGGAGTGTGTTGATTCAGGAGAGGGGTGAGTGGGAGTATGATACGGGAGTGTGTGTGTGTGTGTGTGTGTGTGTGTTAGTGGGGGTATCACGCTGCCGGGGGTGGGAGAGGTGGCTGTCCCTGGCGTGACTGGAGCCCTGGTGGCTGACCTGTGGCTGACGCGTGGCATCATGCCCTGTGACTGTATGTTCACTCACTCTCACCCCACACCATCAGCTAATGGCAACACTTGATGATGCTGCCTCAAAGCTGTGTGTGTGTGTGTGTGTCAGGGATCCGTTAGCATATTCATTGATGGAAATACCAGTCGATGGAAATACATTTCACAGGTCATGCTTATTGGTCTATAGGTTCAATTGCATAATTTTGTGGAATTGAAAATGGCGCATGTGTACATTCGGTATGCATCTTATTTATAACATGTGTCAGACAGCGCGAGAGCTGCTGCTAAGCTCCTCAAACAAATGTTTGTTGCTGCTGGAGTGAAACGTGTGCTTTTATAAGCCCAATCACTGTGCAACAATTTGAAATGCAATTGCATGTTAAAAAGAGTTTTGATGGCTACGACTAAAAAGAGCTACTCTTTTTATTTCTCAACTGGTCATTGAGGCGCGCTTCCCATTCGCCATTCAAATGCATAGGCAACGGAAGGCAGGCTTCATCAGAGTGTCACACACCACTTTGCAATGATCTGGAGGCAGTATGCATTTTGAAAACATACTTGTTTGAAACCGGAAAGTTGTACTACATATTATGAGGCATGTCTTACCTTGCTTCAAAGTACCCTAGCCAAAACCCGACCATATCTGTGGAGGCAATCATTTTATAAAGACTTCCATATGCCACTGAAACCAGTAGCCTATTTCTCTCATATTCTATTGGTTTTCAAATCAACTTTATTTCACTGTCCAGTAGCCAAAGGCACAATCCTAGCCATATTAGCAACCCATACTAGTTGTTACACATCTTTAGATCTCCCCTCTTTCTAAATTTCTAGCGGATATTTTCATCTCTGTCACATGAAACCGCTAGCATGTGCGGTGTGGAACGAACATTCGCGCATAACCTACTGCCTTCTGCGCATTGCTGCGTTTATAATGTGAAGAAATAATCGTTTATCAACATTTTAATTCGGGATAGGCTATTTCTTTCTCAACAAGCTGACCAATAGAATAGGTCAACTTTTCTACAATGGGGGATAGTAGATTTACATAGGCTAGTGATTTTGCTGATCGTTACTTGTCTTGTTGGCTGAGGAAAAGTAAATGTGCACAATTATTCTAACATCTTCAAAGTGCGCATCGGAATTCAGTAAGAAGAACGAAGGTCGTTGCATCCTGGACTAAATGTTATTTCTGTAATTCTGAGCACAGTGGGTGGACGCCATAATCAGGTTATGCATATATGGGTCCGGTAAATTTCTCAAATGTCCGGTAAATAAAAATGCTGCCGGTCAAATGTCCAGCGCCACATCTTCCTAAACGGAAACCCTGGTGTGTGTGTGTGTGTGTGTGTGTGTGTGTATATAGTGTTCCGATTGTCTGACAAGCTTTCACAAGCTCTCCACTCCACATCATGCAGTATGCAGTGGCTTTGTGTTCTGGTGCAGTGTGTTTTAGACTAGGATGGCTGTCCTTCCTGGAACACCGTGACATATGGGAGGAGCAGGTCACTGGTGACCAGATGGTTGGAGCTGGTTCAAGGTGGCACCTAACACTGTAGTACCCTTGAGAAAGGCACTTAACCCAAATTGCTCTGGTAATTGCCCACCTCGTAAATGGACGAAATTGTATGCATTGCACAACGACTTACCCTGAGGGAAAGAGGGCCTATAATACCTATATGACACTGTTAGGATCGACAGCTACTGTTTGACTTGAGTTATGACTACAAGGAGCTACTAGCTAGGAAGGAATGAAGTGACCATGGATGGTATATGGTAGGTGTGTTGTTGATCTCATACTAAATAATGCACAGGTGTGTGTGTTGAGGTACTTACGTGTGATGATGTAGTCTTGCGTCAGTGTCTCCGCTTGTCTCTCTTTCCTCTTGCTCTTCACCACACACAGCTTAGCTCCCCTACACACAGAGAGATAGAGGAGACATAGAGTCAATATTTAATTATGTGGGAGACACGGTCAGCTTTATACACCGTTGTCAAACGTGGCTGCCTGTAGGTTAGATACAGTACAGGCCAGTCTCTTCTGCTCTGCTCCTAACAGGATGGAGTCTAGACAACCCAGTTCAGACTAGTGTTGTCACGATACCAGAATATTGACTTCCATACCGATACCAGGTTTAGTATCATGATACTCAATACCGAAACAATACCACGGCAAAAAAATAAAGTGTATTAGCTAAAGTCACAGAATAACCACTGGGCTTTATTTTTTTAAACATTGAACAATATGTTGTTAACTGATAGACAAATTAAATAACAAATAGAATATCTTGCATTCTACATTACATTTATTTCAAAAATAAAACAACATTAAATAATGGAAAACCATATCTGAAACTCATACAAAATCATTTTACTGCTTTAAAATGTAATTTGATACACATTAAGGTTACCTTGCTCATCTAGGCCAACATATTAGGTCAAATGACATTCATTAGACCTATAATTCATTATAGCTAAATAATTTAATGTATTATTTTTTTATTTTAATTAACCTTTATTTAACCAGGAAGGGCTCATTGTGATTTGAAATCTCATTTTCAAGAGCGTCCTGGCCAAGATAGGCAGCACCAAGTCATTACACAATTACAGACAGACAACATGAAAACTACAAGTAATCTAGTAAAAATCCACAGGAATCACAAGAGTATAACAAAAATCATAAAACAGCAATTTAAAAAAATTGACAGGTCAAGGAATCAGCCTCAAAATCCTTCATCAATGAATTAAAATCACCAATTGGGACAAGTTCTTCCAGTTCAAAAATATGTTGTAAGGCGTTCCAAGCCAATGGTGCAGAATACATAAAAGCCCTTTTACCAAACTCAGTTCGGACATTTGGAACAGTTAGCAGGATAAAGTCCTGCGAACGAAGGGAGTACCCACCACATTTCTGAAGAATAAAAATGGCCAGATAAAATGGTAGTAAACCCAAAATGGCTTCGCAGCCATGATAAAGGGTGTCAATTGATCTCAAACACTGAGTGGAAGTATTCATATATAAAATATCTCCATAGTCTAGTATAGGCATACAGTGGGGAAAAAAGTATTTAGTCAGCCACCAATTGTGCAAGTTCTCCCACTTAAAAAGATGAGAGAGGCCTGTAATTTTCATCATAGGTACATGTCAACTATGACAGACAAATTGAGAAAAAAAATCCAAAAATCCAGAAAATCACATTGTAGGATTTTTTATGAATTTATTTGCAAATTATGGTGGAAAATAAGTATTTGGTCACCTACAAACAAGCAAGATTTCTGGCTCTCACAGACCTGTAACTTCTTCTTTAAGAGGCTCCTCTGTCCTCCACTCGTTACCTGTATTAATGGCACCTGTTTGAACTTGTTATCAGTATAAAAGACACCTGTCCACAACCTCAAACAGTCACACTCCAAACTCCACTATGGCCAAGACCAAAGAGCTGTCAAAGGACACCAGAAACAAAATGGTAGACCTGCACCAGGCTGGGAAGACTGAATCTGCAATAGGTAAGCAGCTTGGTTTGAAGTAATCAACTGTGGGAGCAATTATTAGGAAATGGAAGACATACAAGACCACTGATAATCTCCCTCGATCTGGGGCTCCACGCAAGATTCTCACCCCGTGGGGTCAAAATGATCACAAGAACGGTGAGCAAAAATCCCAGAACCACACGGGGGGACCTAGTGAATGACCTGCAGAGAGCTAGGACCAAAGTAACAAAGCCTACCATCAGTAACACACTACACCGCCAGGGACTCAAATCCTGCAGTGCCAGACGTGTCCCCCTGCTTAAGCCAGTACATGTCCAGGCCCGTCTGAAGTTTGCTAGAGTGCATTTGGATGATCCAGAAGAGGATTGGGAGAATGTCATATGGTCAGATGAAACCAAAATAGAACTTTTTGGTAAAAACTCAACTCGTCGTGTTTGGAGGACAAAAAATGCTGAGTTGCATCCAAAGAACACCATACCTACTGTGAAGCATGGGGGTGGAAACATCATGCTTTGGGGCTGTTTTTCTGCAAAGGGACCAGGACGACTGATCAGTGTAAAGGAAAGAATGAATGGGGCCATGTATCGTGAGATTTTGAGTGAAAACCTCCTTCCATCAGCAAGGGCATTGAAGATTAAACGTGGCTGGGTCTTTCAGCATGACAATGATCCCAAACACACCGCCCGGGCAATGAAGGAGTGGCTTCGTAAGAAGCATTTCAAGGTCCTGGAGTGGCCTAGCCAGTCTCCAGATCTCAACCCAATAGAACATCTTTGGAGGGAGTTGAAAGTCAGTGTTGCCCAGCGACAGCCCCAAAACATCACTGCTCTAGAGGAGATCTGCATGGAGGAATGGGCCAAAATACCAGCAACAGTGGGTGAAAACCTTGTGAAGACTTACAGAAAACTGTTGACCTGTGTCATCGCCAACAAAGGGTATATAACAAAGTATTGAGAAACTTTTGTTATTGACCAAATACTTATTTTCCACCATAATTTGCAAATAAATTCATTAAAAGTCCTACAATGTGATTTTCTGGATTTTTTTTCTCATTTTGTCTGTCATAGTTGACGTGTACCTATGATGGAAATTACAGGCCTCTCTCATCTTTTTAAGTGGGAGAACTTGCACAATTGGTGGCTGACTAAATACTTTTTTTCCCCACTGTAAATGTAGCTGATACTAGCCTCCTTCTGGCTTCAAAAGAAAAACAGGCCTTATTCCTAAAATAAAATCCCAACTTCAGCTTCAATGTTTTTATAAATTGTTGAATATGCAATTTAAAAGAGAGGCTGTCATCAATTAAAATTCCAAGATATTTATATGACGTTACAACCTCAATCTCATTGCCCTGACAGGTAGTAATAGGTGAAAGGTTCAGTGGTCTGTTTCTTGCTTTAGAAAACACCATTAGTTTACTTTTGTCAGCATTGAGGATAAGCTTCAATTGACACGAGGTATGTTGAACAGCATAAAAAGCAGTTTGCAAGTTCTGGAAAGCTTTTGTGAGAGACGAGGCACAACAATAAATACCATTATCATCAGCATAAAAGTGAAGCTGCGCATTTTGAACATTTTTGTCTAAATTATTTATATAAATAGTGAATAAGAGGGGACCAAGTACAGGGCACACCATTACAGACAGACAATTTAACAGACATGAGCCCATCAAATTGAGTGCACTGAGTTCTATCAGACAGATAGTTACCAAACATGCAACTGCATGCTCTGAAAGACCTACGCTCGACAATCTCTGCCTCAGTATAGCATGATCAAATGTATCAAAAGCCTTAGAGAGATCAATAAAAAGTGAGACACAGTGCTGTTTTTTGTCAAGGGCTTCAGTGATATAATTTAAAACCTTCATGGCTGCTGTAATTGTGCTATGCTTCTTCCTGAAGCCTGATTGGTACATTGATAAAATAGTTAGTATATAAAAACTCTTTTAGCTGTTCACTAACAAGGGTTTCAAGTATTTTCGCCAGGGGTGACAGCTTTGAGACTGGCCTATAATTATTAAAAGAGTTGGATCTCCCCCTTTTAAAAGTGGTAGGACAAATGCTGATTTCCAGATCCTTGGAATTTCATTACATTCCAGGGTTAGATTGACCAGATATGTAAGTGGTTCAGCTATGAAATCAGCTGCCAGTTTTAAAAAGCAGGGATCAAGAAGATCAGGACCTGCAGGCTTTCTCTGATCTAAGGATTTCAGGGCTTTAAGTACCTCCTGCACTGAGAATGGCGGAAAGCTAAAAGTTTGACCAGCTCTCACCGGTTCATCCACACACGGTTGTACAGAGACCGAGGATACTGAATCAAACAGCCTACCAGATGATACAAAGTGCTCATTGAAACAATTCAGCATTTCAGTTTTGGCATACAGTTGAAGTCGGAAGTTTACATACACATTTTTAAATTTACATTTTAGTCATTTAGCAGACGCTCTTATCCAGAGCGACTTACAGTTAGTCAGTGCATACATTTTCATACTGCCCCCCCTTGGGAAACAAACCCACAACCCTGGTGTTGCAAGCGCCATGCTCTACCAACTGAGCTACAGGGACCCTAGCCAAATACATACTTAGCCAAATACATTTAAACTCAGTTTTTCACAATTCCTGACATTTAATCCTAGTAAATATTCCCTGTCTTAGGTCAGTTAGGATCACCACTTTATTTTAAGAATGTGAAATGTCAGAATAATAGCAGAGAGAATAATTTATTTCAGCTTTTATTTCTTTCATCACATTCCCAGTGTGTCAGAAGTTTACATACAAATCAAATCAAATCAATGTTATTGGCCACATGCGCCGAATACAACAGGTGCAGACATTACAGTGAAATGCTTACTTACAGCCCTTAACCAACAGTGCATTTATTTTAAACAAAAAAGTTAAAATAAAACAACAACAAAAAAAGTGTTGAGAAAAAAAGAGCAGAAGTAAAATAAAATAACAGTAGGGAGGATATATATACAGGGGGATACCGGTGCAGAGTCAATGTGCGGGGGCACCGGCTAGTTGAGATAGTTGAAGTAATATGTACATGTGGGTAGAGTTAAAGTGACTATGCATAAATAATTAACAGAGTAGCAGCAGCGTAAAAAGATGGGGTGGGGGGGGCAGTGCAAATAGTCCGGGTAGCCATGATTAGCTGTTCAGGAGTCTTATGGCTTGGAGGTAGAAGCTGTTGAGAAGTCTTTTGGACCTAGACTTGGCACTCCGGTACCGCTTGCCGTGCGGTAGCAGAGAGAACAGTCTATGACTAGGGTGGCTGGAGTCTTTGACAATTTTGAGGGCCTTCCTCTGACACCGCCTGGTATACCCTCTGTAGTGCCTTGCGGTCGGAGGCCAAGCAGTTGCCATACCAGGCGGTGATGCAACCAGTCAGGATGCTCTCGATGGTGCAGATGAATAATTTTTTGAGGACCTGAGGACCCATGCCAAATCTTTTCAGTCTCCTGAGGGGGAATAGGCTTTGTCGTGCCCTCTTCACGACTGTCTTGGTGTGTTTGGACCATGATAGTTCGTTGGTGATGTGGACACCAAGGAACTTGAAGCTCTCAACCTGTTCCACTACAGCCCGTCGATGAGAATGGGGGCGTGCTCAGTCCTCTTTTTTTTCCTGTAGTCCACAATCATCTCCTTTGTCTTGGTCACGTTGAGGGAGAGGTTGTTATCCTGGCACCACACGGCCAGGTCTGACCTCCTCCTTATAGGCTGTCTCATCGTTGTCGGTGATCAGGCCTACCACTGTTGTGTCATCGGCAAACTTAATGATGGTGTTGGAGTCGTGCCTGGCCATGCAGTCATGGGTGAACAGGGAGTACAGGAGGGGACTGAGCACGCACCCCTGAGGGGCCCCCGTGTTGAGGATCAGTGTGGCAGATGTGTTGTTACCTACCCTTACCACCTGGGGGGCAGCCCGTCAGGAAGTCCAGGATCCAGTTGCAGAGGGAGGTGTTTAGTCCCAGGATCCTTAGCTTAGTGATGAGCTTTGAGGGCACTATGGTGTTGAATGCTGAGCTGTAGTCAATGAATAGCATTCTCACGTAGGTGTTCCTCTTGTCCAGGTGGGAAAGGGCACTGTGGAGTGCAATAGAGATTGCATCATCTGTGGATCTGTTGGGGCGGTATGCAAATTGGAGTGGGTCTAGGGTTTCTGGGATAATGGTGTTGATGTGAGCCATGACCAGCCTTTCAAAGCACTTCATGGCTACAGACGTCAGTGCTACGGGTCGGTAGTCATTTAGGCAGGTTATCTTAGAGTCCTTGGGCACGGGGACTATGGTGGTCTGCTTGAAACATGTTGGTATTACCGACTCAGTCAGGGACATGTTGAAAATGTCAGTGAAGACACTTGCCAGTTGGTCAGCACATGCTCGGAGTACACGTCCTGGTAATCCGTCTGGCCCTGCGGCCTTGTGAATGTTGACCTGCTTAAAAGTCTTACTCACATTGGCTACGTAGAGCGTGATCACATAGTCATCCGGAACAGCTGGTGCTCTCATGCATGCTTCAGTGTTGCTTGCCTCGAAGCGAGCATAGAAGTGGTTTAGCTCGTCTGGAAGTCTTGTGTCACTGGGCAGCTCGCGGCTGTGCTTCCCTTTGTAGTCTGTAATAGTTTTCTAGCCCTGCCACATCCGACGAGCGTCAGAGCCAGTGTAGTACGATTCAATCTTAGTCCTGTATTGACTCTTTGCCTGTTTGATGGTTCGTCTGAGGGCATAGCGGGATTTCTTATAAGCGTCCGGGTTAGAGTCCCGCTCCTTGAAAGCGGCAGCTCTACCCTTTAGCTCAGTGCGGATGTTTCCTGTAATCCATGGCTTCTGGTTGGGGTATGTACATACGGTCACTGTGGGGACGACATCATCGATGCACTTATTGATGAAGCCAGTGACTGATGTGGTGTACTCCTCAATGCTATCTGAAGAATCCCGGAACATGTTCCAGTCTGTGCTAGCAAAAACAGTCCTGTAGCTTAGCATCTGCGTCATCTGACCACTTTTTTATTAACCGAGTCACTGGTGCTTCCTGCTTTAGTTTTTGCTTATAAGCAGGAATCAGGAGGATAGAGTTATGGTCAGATTTGCCAAATGGAGGGCGAGGGAGAGCTTTGTATGCGTCTCTGTGTGTGGAGTAAAGGTGGTCTAGAGTTTTTTTTCCTCTGGTTGCACATTTAACATGCTGGTAGAAATTAGGTAGAACGGATTTAAGTTTCCCTGCATTAAAGTCCCCGGCCACTAGGAGCGCTGCCTCTGGATGAGCGTTTTCCTGTTGACTTATGGCCTTATACAGCTCATTCAGTGCAATCTTAATGCCAGCATTGGTTTGTGGTGGTAAATAGACAGCTATGAAAAATATAGATGAAAACTCTCTTGGTAAATAGTGTGGTCTACAGCTTATCATAAGATACTCTACCTCAGGCGAGCAGAACCTCGAGACTTCCTTAGTATTTGATTTTGTGCACCAGCTGTTGTTTACAAATATACACAGACCTCCACCCCTTGTCTTACCGGAGTCAGCCGTTCTATCCTGCCGATGTAGCATATAGCCCGCTAGCTGTATGTTATCCATGTCGTCGTTCAGCCACGACTCGGTGAAACATAAGATAGTACAGTTTTTAATGTCCCGTTGGTAGAATAACCGTAATCTTAGGTCATCCAATTTATTTTCCAATGATTGAAGATTGGCTAATAGGATTGATGGAAGAGGCAGTTTACTCGCTCGCCGTCGGATCCTTACAAGGCACCCCGACCTACGTCCACGATATCTCCGTCTCTTCCTCATGCGAATGACGGGGATTTGGGCCTTGTCGGGTGTCTGTAGGATATCCTTCGCGGCCGCCTCTTGAAGAAAAATTATTCGTCCAATACGAGGTGAGTAATCGCTGTCCTGATATCCAGAAGCTCTTTTTGGTTATAAGAGTTGATGGCAGAAACATTATGTACAAAATAAATTACAAATAACGCGGAAAAACACACATAATAGTACAATTGGTTAGAGGGCTGTAAAACGGCAGCCATCTTCTCCGGCGCCATTCCAATGTTGAATTGCGATACAGTGAATTATAAGTGAAAATAATCTGTCTGTAAACAATTGTTGGAAAAATGACTTGTGTAATATACAAAGTAGATGTCCTAACCGACTTGCCAAAACTATAGTTTTTTTAAAATAAATGTGTGGAGTGGTTGAAAAACGAGTTTTAATTACTCCAACCTAAGTGTATGTAAACTTCCGACTTCAACTGTACAGCAACAGAGTCCTTCAATACACATGATGGCAATTCATTAACATTACTGTTACCAGACATAGACTTAATCGCCTTCCAAAACTTTCTAGGGTCATTCCAGTTATCAGTGGTAACAGACATAAAATATTCAGACTTGGCCTTCCTGAGAAGAGAAGAACACTTGTTTCGTAGCTGCCTAAAAAGAAGCCAATCAGCATCAGAACATGATTTCCTTGCTTTAGCCCAGGCTAGATTACGTATACGAATAGTTTGAGCCAAAACGACATAAACAGTACTTTGAAGCTAATTTCTGAAGCTTCTATAGGCCCTTTGCAATAGTCTACATACCATAGAAATACAATGAATTCTGCACAGCATACTACGATTCCCAGAGTGCATTTCAACTCCCAGGGTGCAATGCTCTACCTAGGGCTGCTGGTGGGCTAGTGGCTACTGCTAGCAAGCCCACAAGCCCAGACAAACAAAGTACTCTAAATATATTGCTGTCATAAGTTATGAGTGCATTTCACATTACTTTTGGGTTGTCATATTATAATGCTCACATGAATGTCATGCTGAATATATGTTTGTTTTTGTCACTCAAAAATAATTTGAATTTACAGTGCCTTCAGAAAGTATTCATACCCCTTGATTTATTCCACATTTTGTTGTGTTACAGCCTGAATTCAAAATGGATTAAATAGATGTTTTTTCTCACCCATCTACACACTATTTTTATTCTGTACAGGCTTTTATCTTGTCACTCTGTCAATTAGGCTAGTATTGTGGAGTAACTTCAATATTGTTGATCCATCCTCAGTATTCTCCTATTACAGCCATTAAACTCTAACTCTTTTAAAGTCACCATTGGCCTCATGGTGAAATCAAAGGGATATTCAATGTCTTCTTTGTTTTTTATTGTATGAGTGGGGTACAGAGATTAGGTAAAAATCATGTTAAACACGATTATTGCAGTCCATGCAACTTATTATGAGACTTGTTAAGCACATTTTCACTCCTGACCTTATTTAGGCTTGCCATATGAAAGGAGTTGAATACTTATTGACTCAAGACATTTCAGCTTTTCATTTTTATGAAATTTGTTTTTAAAAATCTAAACATAATTCTACGTTGACATTATGGGGTATTGTGTGTAGGCCAGTGACACAAAAATCTCAATTGAATCAATTTAAATTCAGGCTGTAAAACAACAAAATGTGGAAAAAGTCAAGGGGTGTGAATACTTTCTGAAGGCACTGTAGTTGCTAGTAGAATAACGTAACAATGCAAATGTCATGTGAAAAATAGTTTTTTTAAATGTCGTTTTGGAACTAAAACTCCCTTGCAAGGCAATGCTTTGTAACACCTTTTGCATAGTTGGTTCGGTGGGCTGGCCCTCACCATCTGCTCTGTAAGGAAAGTATGCCCATAGTTCGCTTCAGGAGCCATTTTTGTCAACAAGCTGCGGGCATGGAGGTATGTTTTAGTTAGAAGAAGCCATGCTGTCGGCATTTTCTCTCCTCGCTTGCTTCTCAAAAGTGGCTCGCGCTGTGTCAGCTGCATGCGCAAGCGCAAGTAGCCTGGCTAGCTTACTACTGCCCCCTTGAGAAGATTCAGACAAATTACTCGACAGACGCGATCCTCTCAATCTGTATATGACGCGAGAATTCTAGTGCCGAACCGTTTTTCATGTTCTAATATGAAAAAAGTACTGACGTTTTAGTATACCGTGCAACACTACTTCAGACCTAATAACACTATCATTTCTCGATGGGAGTTTGTACAGTGAAGACTGATGATGTACAGGACATCTAAAAACACAACTTCCGTCCACAGCTACCATAAAGGTAAGCATTCTCAGCTCAGTGTACCTGTGACTCTTGACAGGGTCGTAGTAGACCTTAGCCAGTCCGTTTCCAGTCCCCACCATAATCTGATTCAGCTTGGGATGCCAGAGACACCGCACCACACCCTGAAAAAGACACAAAGAGAAACAGAGACAGGAGATGAGCTATACAGAGACATAGTGAACATTCAATTGTAACATGAGATTCAAATCATTCTTAGTGATGACTGCTGGAGCGGACACATTGTGGTAGTGGTTTGTAGTTGTAGAGTGGGACGCGGGCAGGTTTTTAACTGTCGGAGTGGTCTCTGCATTAGTTGACTATATTTGGTCGTCAGGACGGGGCCTGGATCCTTCAGTCTGTGTGTGACAGATGGCTCGCTGCCAAGGGCAAATATGACCACGCTCATCCAGAGTGTGTGTGTGATGTTTGTGTGTACACACAAGTGTGTGTGTGCGTTTAGCAGTGATGAAGCACCTACGAGTGCATGTGTGTAGAGACTTTCAGTTGATAGGTTGAAATTCTAAGAATAGGTTGAAATTCTGAGAGTTGCAAAGCAGATGTGTGGCAGCTAGCACAGTAGTGGCTGGATGTTTCTGAATGTAGAGCAGATTCCTCACACTCAAGCTTTTTTGTGCTCTCTCCGTCTCTCTCTCGAAGACCCTCTTTGTAACAAAGGGGCCTAAATGGAGGACTGGAAGAGGATGAAGACCGTCATGAAAATAAAATATCCTTCATATCAGTAAAAAAAATCAAAACACTGTAAAGTGTTTCATGTTTCATGAGCTGAAATAAAAGATCACAGAAGTTTTCCATACGCACAAAAAGCTTATTTCTCTCAAACTTTCTGCACTAATGTGTTTACATCCCTGTTAGTGAGCATTTCTCCTTTGCCAAGGCAATCCATCCACCTGACAGGTGTGGCATATCAAGAAGCTGATTAAACAGCATGAAAAATGTATGCACTCACTAAAACTGTAAGTCGCTCTGGATGAGAGCATCTGCTAAATGACTAAAATGTAAATGTAATAATCATTACACAGGTGCACCTTGTGCTGGGGACAATAAAAGGCAACTTTAAAATGAGCAGTTTTGTCACACAACACAATGCCACAGATGTATCAAGTTTTGAGGGAGCGTGCAATTGGCATGCTGACTGCAGGAATGTCCACCAGAGCTGTTGCAAAATAATGTAATGTTAAGCCACCTCCAACGTTGTTTTAGAGAATTTGGCAGCACGTCCAACCGGCCTCACAACCGCAGACCACATGTAACCACGCCAGCCCAGGACCACCACATCCGGCTTCTTCACCTGCGTGATCGTCTGAGACAAGTCAACCGGACAGCTGACGAAACTGTGGGTTTGCACAACAACCGAATAATTTCTGCACAAACAGAAACCGTCTCAGAGAAGCTCATCTGCATGCTCGTTGTCCTCACCAGGGTCTTAACTTGACTGCAGTTCGGCGTCGTAACCGACTTCAGTGGGTAAATGCTCACCTTCGATGGCCACTGGCATGCTAGAGAAGTGTGCTCTTCACGGATGAATCCTGGTTTCAACTGTACTGGGCAGATGGCAGACAGCGTGTATGGCGTCGTGTGGGCGAGCGGTTTGCTGACTCCAACGTTGTGAACAGAGTGCCCCATGGTGGCTGTGGGGTTATTGTATGGGAAGGCATAAGCTAAGGACAATGAACACAATTGCATTTTATCGATGGCAATTTGAATGCACAGAGATACCTTGACGAGATCCTGAGGCCCACTGTCATTGCCATTGATCCACCGCCATCCCCTCATGTTTCAGCATGATAAAGGATCGGTACAAATGTCCCAGTTCTTCCATGGCCTGCATACTCACCAGACATGTCACCCATTGAGCATTTTTGGGATGCTCTGGATCGACATGTACGACAGCGTGTTCCAGTTCCCGCCAATATCCAGCAACTTCGCACAGCCATTGAAGAGGAGTGGGCACAATCAACAGCCTGATCAACTCTATGCGAAGGAGATGTTGCGCTGCTTCAGGCAAATGATGGTCACACCAGATACTGACAGGTTTTCTGAACCACGCCCATACCTTTTTCTTAAGGTATCTGTGACCAATAGATGCATATCTGTATTCCCAGTCATGTGAAATCCATAGATTAGGCCCTAAGGAATGTATTTCAATTGACTGATTTCCTTATATGAACTGTAACTCAGTAGAATCTTTGAAATTGTTGCATGTTGCGTTTATATTTTTGTTCAATGTACATAGACCGTGGTCATTTGTCTGGCCAATTACGTCATCCAAAATTCCATGACCGTCAGAGCCCTACTCACGCACACTGATGTGCAATTTCCTCTAGGCATGACTGTGTGTGTGAGAGAGGGAAGAATAATGATGATTTCTTAGTTCATGAAAGGATAACACTTTGTACTAAAATAAATAATGAAAAAGGTTTATGAATGATGCTGGGCAGTGGGCAGTATTACAATCAGAGACCATGGATGGAGTATTAGTGTGGATGGGAAGACCCCAGTGGATCAGGGTTGCCCTGTGGGGGGTGGGACATGACGGTTAGGACTAGGGGTGGTGTGCTGTGTGGAGAGTCTGTGACAGGGTGAAAGCTGCTTAACGCCCAGCTGTTCAGCTTCCCACCGGGCTCCCGTTGGTAAGGGGACCCACAAACACACAGCAACAAAACACACACATACTATTATGAACTCACATATTCCCACAATACCTAGGCATTACACATCATGCACTTACATGAACAGTCAGCCAAACACCCCCACCCCCTCGCCACAACATCCCAGATCCCCAAAGACTTGCCTAGCAGACCCCTGAGGCACCACCAGCAGCTCTGTCGTGACCGGTGAGTGAGTGGACTGGACATATCAGGGTTAATCTGCCCCACTGACCATGTGGTGAAGTAATTGATGATTTAGAATGATCTAGAAAATGCTCCCAATCAGAACTGGGTATTTAGGTAATCTTCACTATCTATCCTATCGGCTTGGAGATTATAGATCATTTCATATTTAAATGACCTTTTAAGAAATGTGAAATATGTAAACATACTGTACAAACATATCTGTACAGAAGTGTGTCAGTGTGTGTGTGTGTCAGTGTGTGTGTGCGTGTAGCGTAATGAACCAATACGCCCCTTGTAGAGCTGCTTCAATGACAATCAATGAGCAGTGTGTAAAACACCCTATCACGGTTGCTAAGATACCGGAGCACATCAATCACATCACATGCATAGCATTGAGGAATTCTGTTCCACTCCAGTGGAGCTCAATCAGAGCTCAGAGACTTGTCTCAGCAGCATCCCAACACAGGCAAGAACCAAGTAGAACCAAGCCTAGCAGAGCTCAGCCCAACACAGGCAAGACCAGCAAACCCAAGACCAGCACAACAAGTCCAGCCCGATCCAACCAAACTGACTCAGCCCAGCCAGGTATGGCCCAGCCCAAGCCAGCAGAGCTATGCAGTAGCCTCGCCCAGCAGTAAAGGGTTCCAATGTGGATATTCAGAGTTGTGTGTTTACAGTATTGTTAGTTCCAATATGTGTATGAGAGAGAGCGAGCCATAGAAAGGGTGGCCAGGCAGCCACAGAAGGGAGAAAGGACTTAGAGCCTAAACTACACAACATTTTAAGGACACATCCATACAAAGCCTAACTACCACCACCCATTTTCCCATGCCACAGCTGCCAGAAATCTAGCATTGGTGCCATTAAATGGGAAAATCTTAATGAAAGTGTCCGAGTTTGCCTCAGCACCCCATAACTGACATCAGAAGGACCTCCACATAGGCAACGTACTGAGACACAAAGAGGAGAACCACCATGGCCCTTGTCCCACCTTTCACCCCCCTCCTCCTACTTTCTCCTCATACTAAAGATGAAAGCCTGAACCTCTCTGTCAAAGAGCAGGAGAGGGAGAGGCAGGCTACTGTTTGAGAGCCATCAAGTGTGAGAAGTGAAGTGCACCGAGTGCAGACATCAACACACAGATGTGACACACACTATGAGAATGTGAGGCTGGGACAACGCCTCACCGACACACAACACCCAGCCACCACAAATAAATACACACTACACCCTGTGGGTCTTTCCCATTTCTCCCCAGAGCAGTCTACCGTAGGGTTCCCAGGACTGCTAGCTACATCCACTAGTACTCTCACTGAGTATTTCACAGAGATATTTCCCACAGTACCTCAGCTGGAGTGAGTCTGTGAGTTCTCACCTGGTTCATGCCCTCTGTGATAGACAGAGATAAGCTAAGAGTGGCTGGAGTATTTACCTAACCCAGGCTAAAAACTCCTCCACTCCCTAGCACAGCCTATGCCCCGGGTCCGGGGTTATGTAGACTGTTTAGTTGGAGATGATTGGTAGCCCTGCCTTTCACTCGACCGCCTGGTACACCGCTTTATAAAGACAGCACTTAAATTCTTAACCCATCTCAGAGCGGGACGGCTGGTGTAAACACAGTAAATAGCTCATTCGTCAGGTCCCCTGAGTGCACGTCACCCCAGAAATAACTACATCTGCTGCAAAAATAAACCTTTAACACCTCAAAGCTCTGCTTATCTGATTTGGAATGGGAAAGGTACTAAATATACATGGGTCCGTGCATTTAGAGTTGTCTCTCTCTCTGTAGGCTGTGCCAGGCTGGCTGTCAAACAGACATGGCGAGGAGATGGCAGCCGGCTGGCAGGTGAGGCAGGCAGGGGGCAACACGGCCGCTGTAACCCCCAGAGGAGAGGAGAGGATAGGATAGGAGAACATGGCTGTCAAGCCTGGACCAGAGGGATACTGAGTTAGCCTCTGTCAGACCTCACTGTTTTGACTACACATACACTCTGATAAATCCACTGGAGAGGGCCGGGGCAAGGAGAGATGGAAAGGGATTGGTGTAAGAGGGGACAGATGAAAATGAGCTGCGCTGTGCATACTGTACTGTATGACATGACACAGAGAGAACATTCTTTCAACGAGGGGCTGGCGGTGTGATTTCAATTCTCGACAGACAGAGCTCTCTCTCTCTCTCAGCAGCCTTCGGATCTGAATCTCCATCTACCCTGGTGAAGAGAGCTATTCTGATCAGCTAATGCTAGAGTGTTGGTGAGTGTTGGTGAGAAGAATGTCTGCAGCTGCTGTATCTCTAGAAGAGTTAGGTTATAGAGGTGTAAATAACTGCCATCCCAGAATGTTTACACCTATGTCTACTTGCCCTTTGCCTTGGCAACAAGTAGCATGTAGGTTGCCTACATGCTAGATTGTGGAGTACATTACTTCACATGCACATTAACATGTGCATGTGAATGGACTATAATAATTTTGCTAGTTATACCAGTTAATTCTCTATCCAATGTTTACTGAATCAATTGGAAAAGCATATCCTGCTAACACTTGACGGGGATGAGTGGTAGATAGTAGGGGTATATTTCTCCCCTCTTTCATGGCTCTTTTCTCCTAGCTTGGCTTGGATGGGTTGGGCAAACCACAGTGTTGGGAAAACATCAGTATTCTGCTCTCATTCAGAGAGAGCACGGGTGGCCATGTTTAGACCCACAGCCATAACTCAAGTCAGATGCTTAAATAAAAAAGGCTTACACTATTGAAATGTAGTGATGATACAGGCTAATTCAGATTTGGCTTGAAATAAATTACGTGATACAAAGCTTAAGTCACTTGTTCCATGAATTTTTCCTAGCCGGGACATGTTCATAATGAAATCTACATCTCATTATATCAACAAGATCACAAAATGCACAGGCAGGCTTATTATCAGATTGGAGGGGCTGTGTGGGCCTCTATAATAACTCTGTAATAATACACATTTTCAACCAGCAGGACTGTTAAAATAGAACTTGGCCATCAAAAAAGCCTCACTGCTACTGACACAAGGCAACAGAACCAGTAGCCAACCAGGCCTGAGTGATTAGGTTTGGCCTTCAGCAGTTTCTACAGTATCAGAACTTACTAATAGAGTTCAGCAGTATGCAGTATTCCCCAGGCTTACCCTCCTCTCCTGCCTGTACAGTTACAGTACTGGTTGTAATGTAGCTCTAATCCCTGCTGGGGATAATTCAGCTCGGGTTAAATGGGAAATTACTTTAAACCTCTTAATCTGAACAGACAAGACTTGCCCAAATGAGAGCTTAGACTAATGTAGGAGAGTTTTAAGATGGAACACAAGGACAAACCCCAAATCCTGAGAGGAAATTACATTTGAGGGACTTTCTGGCGAAGTCTGCAATACTGCCTCTGTTGCGATGTACATCAATTACTGTTGCCCCTTCAACCAATTATTACTGTTGGATTATCAATGTACATGTTTCATTATAATGTCTGTGAACTAATACATTGAAATGAAACCTTAGGATACGATGTAGTGATACTGGTCAGTTATTATTAGTGTTGCAGTCAGAGTTAAAGGATGTTACTCACAGCGTTGGTGACATCTATCTCATAAACCTTCTGGAAGGAGGCTCTATCAAAGAACACCAGCTTCCCGTTGCCCTCGTCCTTCTTCACCGACGTCCCCGTCACCAGCAGCTTGTCATCAGGGCTGAAACAGCAGTCTGTCCTGTTGGGGACACAGTCACACACACCATACTTCAGCCAGCTGATACTAGACAAGGTCGTTTCTTTACAAAACTTCACGTCATTCAGTTGTCTTCTGGAACTGTACCCTGCACATGTACTGTAGGTAGTACCAACCAGTTATATTGAAGTAATCACCGGAAACCCCATAAAGGGTGTTCAGATCACCAATGAATAATCAAGGGAATAACGACAGGAGTACTCACATGGAGAAGAAGGCGGAAAGCCCTGTAGCCACATTCAGAGGCTTCTTGAAGTTACGGATGTCCCAGGTCTTTAGAGTGTCATCACCTGGCAGAGAAAGTGGGAGTTATTCAAGAGGTATTGTCATTATTTCATGGTGCATGTGTGCTGCACAGCTTCGCTGATGGTGGCAGATTGGCTGTCTTTATTTGCACTTTGGGGAAGAGATGAGCTCTTTCCCCGCTGAAACAACAGACTTATAGATGCGTGTTCAGACATTACATCTCCCCTGAAAGCACTGGGTCAGGGCTGGGGCAGAGGGACTCGCTCCAATGTATATACACACAGGCACAGAGCTACAGTAGTGTTGTTGAATGCACAGTCAGGCAATGCTGATGTCCATGATATACTGGTGGTGTACTGTAGTAAGAAGGAATCAGGAAAGTAGTGAGGCAGGCTGATATATCCTACCTCCTCGAGAGGCCAGTATTGTCCCGTCGTAGGAGAAGGCGAGACAGGAGGTGTCTGTTCCTGGGGCGTGGGCCTGGCGACAGTGGAACTTGGTGTGGACCTGAGGGTGAAGAGGATAGAGGTCAAAGGTATGACAAATAAAGGTGACCCAACATTCACATAGACATCGTATCAGACTGAACATCCCAGGACATTGTCTCAGTGACAGAAGTAGCAAACGCATGTTCCCTAGACTGTCAATCACCTTTGGTGAACTCCTAAACGCTCTGCTAGAAGTTTTCTTTCACCAACGGATGTTGAACTCTTACCACTCCAGTAACATACAGACCTTTTCATGCTCCGTCTCTTCAAGACAACATACGGTTTCCATTTCCTCCTAGAACACCATAGCCTCAAACCCACCATGCTGTATGATACCTTCAGACCTTTGCAGACGGTAAACACACGTGGTGTGATTTTAGACTCCAGGGGTTTACCTTGGCAAGCTGAGCTGCCTGACTACTAGTCTTTTATTTTTCTCGATTTAAATCCGAAACACACTACAGTTATCATAACTCGTAAGTCCCACACCACAATTAAAAGGAGATACACCACTTCGTCTTAACACTTTTAAGGCATTTAGGTTGGAAAGCTTACAAGTTCATAGAAGACTTTACATGTGACTGGGGTCAGTCATAGTAATGTCAATAACACTGCAAACATCATGTGTCAGGAGCGTCACAAATGTGCACAGACCTATCAATACCAAAATGAAAACATGGTTGACATTACAGCATGTGACATGATCAACACGTGCCACTCACACTATGGAAGCAAAGTGATTTTTCAGCCCAGAGTCAAATCTATTGAGCGCTCTCAAACTGCCTGACAGTGCTAATGCAGGCTAGAACTCATTCACAGGTTAAAAACGCCAATATAACAGAATTTCACTTTGAAGAGTAGTGCTTTTATAGATCATCAATTGAAAAGGGATTAGGAGTCTTGAGGGGAAGTTATGGTAAAGTGGTGTTGACATGTAGTGCATTTAAGCTACAGATTATTTAGATAAAAGCCAATCTGACTGGCAAGTGGCCATGTGAAGTAAAGTTTATCCACCAATATTCATCTCAGCTCCCTAACCATGTCCACACTGAAGCAGACAGCCTGAAGGTCTAAACAAGTGTTTCCAAGATGGCCTCCCATCCAATGTGGTTCCTCTGTGCTTACTGCTTACTCAGTGGCCCACTGCATCAGCTCCTGTTGTGGCAGAGGCACTGTGTGTCAAGGTCCACAGGTCTGCACTGTTGGCATTGCCCCAATGTGCCTTCAGCATGGAATGTCAAAGAGAGTTATACCTTTTGCTCCACAGCACTAAACCAAAGCCACTCAGACCGTGCATGAGAAACAACACGGAGGAGGAACACATCTGCTCAACCCAGCACATACACACGGAGGTTCAATTCTGATCAGCTTCAGTTTTTTAAACTGTAGATAACCATACTAGAATATTATATATTATAAACTGGGTGGTTCAAGCCCTGAATGCTGGTATATCAGACCGTATACCATGGGTATGACAAAATATTAGTTTATAATAGCAATAAGGCACCTCGGGGGTTTGTGGTATATGGTCAATCTACCATGGCTAAGGGCTGTATCCAGGCACTCTGCGTTGCGTCGTGGTTAAGATCAGCCCGTAACCGTGGTATATTGGCCATATACCACACCTCCTCAGGCCTTATTGCTTAATTACGGTAAATCATAGTGAATATCTCTATTCACTATGAAATGAAGACATAAAAAGAGATCTGCCTCTACTCCATACCTGCTTCATTCCTGTGAGTTGGCAGTGAGCTCTGGCCAGCATAACTCAGCTTTACCTGTGCTGAGTACAACCAGACTACCCACATAAATCACAACCAGACAGCTTTCAGCACTGAGGTAAAGGACTTCCCAGCACTCAAACATACACAGCCTGGATTTATGTATGTAAACCTTCATCAATTCTAAACGATAACCAATAAATCAATGGTAAATTAAATATAGCAACAAAGGAATTTCGGTCAGAGAGCGAGAGAAGGAATTTGAAATGGAGGGATGGCAGGATAAAGTAGAGGGAAAAGATAACAGAGAGCTAGAGAAATATTGCCAGGAAAAGAGACAGAGGAATGGAACAGGTGGTGGTGTATTGATGATAGAGGGAACAGGGCCATAAGCATTTCCATAGTAAGTGGAGGGAAGTTATTAAACTGGGAAAGAGATATAACGCTGCTATATACCATCAGCTTCAGATAACACACACATCCACTCAACGTGTTTTCTCACTCCGTCTATTTCAGTCCTTTTCCTTTCTCTCTCAATTCTCTGGGGCAAATGGTTTTTGAAGACTGATTGCTAAAAGCTTCACTTTTATGTTTGTTTTTTCATGTTCAAAAGTTGATCATGATAAATGAACAACAGGGGACAAATAGTTCCTTCATCTCAACACACAGAGAGGAATGACCAAGACAACATCTGGAAGCCCAGCACTCTTTTAAACCTACAAAATCATTCATTGTGCATACCACAAAAAGTACATTCGCTTTACAAGCTGTGATGAATGTGAAAACCAAGAACTAAGTTCATATTTTGGGTCAAATTATCTCATTTACGAGATCCTAAATATTCTTGCAAATTAAAGTCCCTACTTTTGCTAAACAGAGCAATGTGACCCCTAGTTGAGCTTTGGGAACTAGGGTCGTTTTTCTCCTAGCCCAAAACACAGACATGAGGTAAGCTTTGTTACAGGGAGATTTGATTACTGTTGACATGACATATTCATCCCCTTTCCTGCACCCCTCTCTTCAGTAGAGGAAAGAGAAAGGGGAGGGGAGAGACAGAGACGTGGGGAGGAGAGAGTAGCTGAGAGATGAAAAGGAATGAAGGAAAACTAAAAAATAGAGTGCCTTCGTGACATAGTTACAGCTTCAACCAGGAAAAGGTCTTCTGAGAACTGGGAACCCTGCTGAGCACCAACTTATTCTGATTTCACTCCCTCAGGTTGGGGAAAGAACCTTCCTAATAGTGATCTATAATCACACTGACTTATAGGTATCATGAGAAGTATCAAGTCAAGTCATGAGAAGTATCAACCATCATTGTACCAATAAATCACACAATGCATGTGTTATTTATTATAATCCAATCCTATACTGTGTATTTGCTCTATACATTCTTACAGGTTTCAAGGTTTTAATATTTTCATTTCCTGATGTTGGTTTGCTTCCTGTGTTAAGCCTCTGCACCAGGTTGTGAAACATGACTCTCGGACTCTCCCCTTCCTCAGTATGGAGCAATAGGTGGCCCCTCTCTATGTCTCCCTGTCCCATACACCACACACACACACATACACACAAACACAACCCAGCACTAACACACATTAAAATACATGCATGGACGAAAACAGATAGAGGGCTCAGAGCTTACAACACTGATCCCTGGGACATCACTAGAGATTTCACACATTTTCATCAAGGGAGAGGGGTGTTGTGGTGCATGACCAGGCTCAGAGTTAGGCCACAGGAGATGGGCTAGGTTTCATCCTTGGAAGGGTCTGATAAAGATCTACCACAAGCACAACTGTTTCTGACCATGTTATCCGAGTAACGTTATATCAATATTACAACCCCCACACACACACAATCACACACTAATACACACACCTGAGCCACCTTGTGACGACCTCTGTACAGTCAGCCTGACAATCAGGCTCTGAACTCTTGCTGGTTGTGAGGATCAAGTGGCCCAACTCCAGCCCTGAACAGCTGCTCAGATCCTTCATGGAAATCAGCAAGTGCTACTCGCTCTCTCCCTCTGTGTGTGTGTGTGTGTGTGTGTGTGTGTGTGTTTGAGAGCCAATCTCCTCTACCTTATCTCTCCATCTCCCCCACAACACATTTCTCCAAGTCATAAAGCCTTAGCCAAAATGCAGGGAATAGAATCTCTTCACTTTAAGATGTAGAAACTGGTTAAGAACCATATTGGAGGCTGTCAGTGGCATTCCTTTGCCACAAGGCAAATCTCCCAGTTCCCTGATTGTCTGGCTGCTAGTCTATCAGTCCCAGCTGTGATCGAGGCTATGGTATTGTGGTATTGTGTCTGTAGGAAGCAGGATGCATTCAGCCAGCCAGACAGGCCCAGCTGGGGCAGTTTGTTCACACTCCAAAGGGTTCCCTGAAGGCTTGTAAAGCACGCTGAGTAGCTGCTCTAGCTTGCCGTCAGGGCCTGGGCTTCTCCTCTAAACGGTGTTTTTAGACCTCTGCAGGCAGTTCCTAGCCAATCTCCCTGGCCCTATCTTTTATGACCCCGGGATTTACTGGTTTACAGTGACACTGTACAGAGTCACATTGCTGCTGCGTTGAGGTCCCATTAGGCCGGTGACTGCAAATGATGTGTTGGCCAGCTCTGGTCCATTAACGCAGGCAGGGATACAGTGTGTGACTAGAATAAAAACAGGATGGGGGTTTACAATGACGGGGTAGGCCGTCATTGTAAATAAGAATTTGTTCTTAACTGACTTGCCTAGTTAAATAAAGGTTAAATTAAAAAAAATCGCCATATTTTACTTCATGCTGTCACAATGCATATGAACAGTATGGATTGAAAACATGAATATCACAAAGGACTGTATGTTCCTCCTCATTATGGTGTGCAGAACTTCGCACAGACGTTTCGTAACGTCTCTGTATTACACTAACACTGACCATCGCTTGACTTGACAATAAAATTGGAAAAGTTGATTGAAACCACCCCTCGAGTGGACGTACTTTGTACTCTGGAGTGCTCGGAGGAGAACACTGACGACATAACATTCCGTACGTCTCTGTGGTAATGTTCTGGAACTGAGGCCAGCGGCTCCGTGCACCGCTTTCACCCGTACGTCACCCATTCTTAGTGTGAAAGGCATCCCAGCAGCACCCTAAAGTACCACTGCACATTACCTGGCAACCCTGGACATGAAACTGGGTAATTTTGGCACAAATGCAGTAAGAACAGCTTGGAGAAGAAGCCATGCAATCACTGCCTACCCTACAGCATCAGCAAGGCTAGGAGACCTTCTTGACTCCCATCATAGGATCAATCAACCCCACGTCAGGGTTCAGGAGCCTGATCTGTCATCCTCAATAATCCTTCTTCAGTCCAAGCACCAGATCAAGGTCGGTTGGATAATTGATATTGTCTGTCGACATTTTCTGCCCATGAGTAATAGAAGTGATACAGACTTGATCCTAACCTCTTCAGAGTGAAGAGGAGTACCAGTGATAGGGCACCAGCAGTGAGTTGGTACGGTGTCTCGTTCTTAGCTGGGAAGTGGGTCTAAATCAATGAGAGTGATAAGAGTTAATTTATTATATTTTGTCATAACGTTTTCTGGGTTCCTCTATTTAAAATCACAAACATGTCCTGGGCTTGTCCCAGGGCTAGGGCTCTTGCAAGCCTTTAGCAGTGCATGTGGCACGGGGAAAAGCACACAGCCCATGTCATGGGGCATATGGCAGAGGGCATCCAGTGAAAACTTGCCCCTCCAGCCCAGGCATCGGTGGCCAGGGAACACACAGTGTTATTGTAAGCTGCTATGGGATGCAGGGTAAATATTTAGTCTGGGAGAAGAAGCAGTAATAAATTAGAGAGCTTTTACTCAATCTCTCTGAGCCTGCTGTTATAGCCATGGGGGGGGGGGGGGGGGGGGGTTAAGTCTCTGGGCTCTGTTAGGGCTGGCAGGACAGGAATCTAGCAACAGAAAACTCACTAACATCACTCCCGTCACAGACTCTCTGGCAGACGGAGTGAGAAAATGTCTAGTACTAGTGACCAAATGTGAAACTGAATGCATGACTGCTATAGATAAAATCAAAGGTTCATGTATCGTAATAATACAAAAATATATTCTGAATATACGAAGTTATAATCGCTAAACAAAAACCTGCTGCTACCTGTTCCTGCAGATATCAGGCCTGCCTGTCACTGTCTCACAGACCTCCCCTCACACTAAATAACTGTCACGTCGCATACATTACTATTCACACACATTCAGAGCTACTCAACCCTGTCCACAGAAAGGTCCTCAGAGGAAGGGCGGGATGGGGGGAGCTGGTGGAGGTGTAAGGGAAAACCCATATGCTCCGTCTCATCTCCTAACCTTCCTTCAGCCAATTACAACTGTACAGGATTTAGCTGTTAGCAAGGCAGACGAGCCTGAATGACGGTCAACATTTGGATTAATGTTGTCCAAAAGCTAACATGGGAATAATAAATCAAAAGATAATAAAAGTCCAGTTTGAGCCTTGGATACTAGAGTACCTTGTGAATAGTCTACTCTAGTAGGAAAACAAGACTTGTGAAACCTGGCAATAAACACTAAGGAAATGGACATAACTAGGAGGAAATCAAACTGGAGTGATGTCCTGACATTCTGACACCTCCTCAAACTTAAAGAGATTGCCTCAGTAGGCCTCTTGACAGTTCCCGAATCCTCTCTCTCCCCCTCTTTTTCTCTCTCTCTCGGCCCCCTCTCGGAGGTCAGGTCTGTCTGTGACAGCTGTAAGTGAGGCTGTGAGCGATAGACTGGCAAATCTGCTCTCTCCACTGATCCCTCCACAGGAAGCTGCGGCGTGTCATTTCTTCCCACCACCTCGATGCTGACCAGAGACGTGTTACCCACCGGCCGCAAAAGCCCCTAGTCAGGAAGGATCATTGGTAGATGGCCGGGCAGGGCTTGGAGAGTACGGGAAGAGGAGAAGTGAAGATGTAACTGACCGTCTGAGCCGGCAGACAAGGCCTGTTTTTCCTCAGTCCGTAGCCAGGCAGGAAATTCTACTCCATGAGAGGTATTTGACTCAACAGATTGAGACATACCCAAGTGCTGAATGCAGGTCCTTTTTATGCACTGTGTAGGGCCCTATAAAATCTGTTGTATTTTTCCTTCTGCCAGGTAAGCATGGGCTACTTTGTAGTTAACATTTAATTGAGAAGGCTTTTAGGAAAGCCTTTCCATCTCCCAGAAGACTGTTTTCATTAGCATCATCGCTAACAGCTACACAAAGTGGTAGACGTGCACCACACATACACAGACGGGGAAAGTTGCAGGAAATACAAATCACTGATGCATTCTGTTCATGTTTATGATAAGCTTGGGCAAATGTATTAATTTACAAGACATTTAGTTGATTTCCCTAATAAGTTAAATACATGTTTAAATATTGTTGAATTCCATTTTAATGTCTGGGATCTGTGATTCCGACCGCGTTCTCCACATTTTATAGGGCTCTAACTGTGATGCTTTGTCACGTATCTCCAGAGAAAAACTGAACAGCCAGGCAAATGTGAAGAATGCTTCCCAGGATCCAAAATACACAATTAACTGTGCAGTCGGGATCAGAGAGATGGATGGAATGCACACTTTGATTACTTAATTGCATAATTAAGTAATAGTGGAAAAGTACAGAAGAGAGTGGATGTGATTAGGCCTCCCAGCAACCTCCACGTCTGCCCACTCAATCATCACACCCCACCACAGACAGACTCTTATTACATCACTGGCTATTTTCCACTGGGCTAGGGTTAGGATGACGGGTTGCCTGTGGAACCTAGGTTATATACAGCACTACAGCCAAGGCTGAGTTATGTCAGAATCAGGCAGCAGTATTGTGTAATAGCGGACTCTTGACCAAAACATCCAGGCTATTTCTGTGGTTCAAACCCCAGGTGGGATATGTTACTCTTCTGTTGTTGTGCAGTTCACATGCACTCGAAAAATTCAGTTCGCCATGAATAACATTAGGTGAAACTCTAGGGCCCCCCAAATATAGTATAACAAGTCTACTAAGCTATGAGTTGATTTACTGTTTCAGTGGAAGCATCCTCCGTCTAGCTAGTTATTCACAGTATCCTCTCTCACAAGCTGTTCACACCATCAGCTGAACCCTCAAATATGACATTTTCACTCTAGGAATTCACCCCAGGTGTAGCACGTATTTATCAATGCCAAAAATGCATATACAGTGCATTCGGAAAGTATTCAGACCCCTTCCATTTTCCCAGATTTTGTTACGGACAGCCCAGTACATCACTGGGGCCGAGCTCCCTGCCATCCAGGACCTCTATATCAGGCAGTGTCAGAGGAAGGCCCGAAAAATTGCCAAAGACTCCTAGCCAACCAAGCCATAAACTGTTCATTCTGCTACCGTCCGGCAAACGGTACCGGAGCATCGGCTCTAGGACCAACAGGCTCGGAGACTGTTTCTACCCCCAAGCCATAAGACTGCTTAATAGCCAGACTGCTTAATAGTCAATTAATGGTACCCGAACTATCTGCACTGACTCCATCTTGCACTGACCCTACGCACACTCACTAGAATTTAAATACACACCATATACACACACACTCGCTCACACACACTAAACTGTCACTCCTACACAAAACCCTCCCAGATTCACAAACACTACATACACACACAAACACATAACACACACATGCATACTGACACAACAAACACACACACACTTTTACACTCATCATTTGCTGCTGCTACTCTGTTCTATATTTTACTCTTATTATTATCTATCCAGATGCCTAGTCACTTTACCCTGCCTTCATGTACATATCTACCTCGTACCTCTGCACATTGATCTGGTACTGGTACTCCCTGTACTGTATATAGCTCCATTCTTGTGTATTTTATTTTTATTCCTCGTGTTAGTCACTATTTAATTTGTTATTATTCTTTTATAAACTCTGCATTGTTGGAAAGGTCCGTAAAGCAAGCATTTCACTGTAAAGTCTACACCAGCATACCTCCCCCTATATTCTTTTGGGTGGTTATACCTAAGGTAAACGGTTATCCGCCCTCCCAGTTACCAAAAACAACAAATGTCTGCCTCACAACCAGCATTCTCCATCTCAGCAATGAGGATCAAACCTAACCATCCGTCCCACTAACATTCGACACATTCTTATTCAACCATGTTCCCCACCACACACGTAGAGACCTATCCATCTGTATCCCACACAGTCAAACAGACGACCTCCTATATCACACCAGATACAAGACAGACAGACAGGATAGTTTGAATTAAGGCTATTTCCCAAACACAAACGCCACTTTCTCACCTATGGCTTTATTTACTGCTGGGTCCTGCTTAGTGTTGGTGACCTTTTGAATTCTGACCCCATGCCCTGGGACAGGATGACCCCATGCCCTCCTCCTCGCAGTCCTTCATGTGTGACTAACAGTGTGTGTGTACGCCAGTGTGAGACAATGGTGAGGTACTGGGTGTGTGTGTGTGGTCGTTTATGCGTGTGAGAGCGAGCGAGAGCGTGAGACAGAGAGACTCACGCTGAGGTTCCTGTCCCAGATCTGGATGGTTCCGTCCTGGCAGCCGGCTGCCACCAGCTTCCCGTCTCGGCTGTAGGTGCAACAGGTGGGCGTGACTTTCTTCCCCTGCAGGGAGCGGGGTTTGAAGCACATCTTGTGCTTCTTGTAAGAGCTCAGGTCCCATGTGCGAACAGTACTGAGAACACAGGAAGAGAGAGGAGAGGTTTATTAACCAACACACAGACCCTCCAACAACACATAATACTAACATACAGTGCATTCGGAAAGTATTCAGACCCCTTGACCTTTTCCACGTTTTGTTACGTCACAGCCTTATTCTAAAATGGATTAAATAAATAAAACATCCTCATCAATCTACACACAATACCCCCTAATGACAATGCGAAAACAAATACCTTATTTACAGAATTATTCAGACCCTTTGCTATGAGACTCGAAATTGAGCTCAGGTGCATTCTGTTTCCATTGATCATCCTTGAGATGTTTCTTCAACTTCATTGGAGTCCACCTGTGGTACATTCAACTGATTGGACATGATTTGGAAAGGCACACACCTGTCTATATAAGTTCCAACAGTTGACAGTGCATGTCAGAGCAAAAACCAAGCCTTGAGGTCGAAGGAATTGTCAGTAGAGCTCCGAGACAGGATTGTGTCGAGGCACAGATCTAGGGAAGGGTACCAATACATTTTCTGCAGCATTGAAGGTCCCCAAGAACACAGTGGCCTCCATCATTCTTAAAAGGAAGACGTTTGGAACCACCAAGACTCTTCCTAGCGCTGGCCGCCCGGCCAAACTGAGCAATTGGGGGAGAAGGGCCTTGGTCAGGGAGGTGACCAAGAACCTGATTATCACTCTGTCAGCGCTCCAAAGTTCCTCTGTAGAGATGGGAGAACCTTCCAGAAGGACAACCATCTCTGCAGCACTCTACCAATCAGGCCTTTATGCTAGTGGCCAGACGGAAGCCACTCCTCAGTAAAGGGCACATGACAGCCCGCTTGGAGTTTTCCAAAACACACCTAAAGGAAACCTGGCACCATCCCTACGGTGAAGCATGGGGTGGTGGCAGCATCATGCTGTGGGGATGTTTTTCTGCGGCAGGGACTGGGAGACTAGTCAGGATCGAGGGGAAAGATGAACAGAGCAAAGTACAGAGAGATCCTTGATGAAAACCTGCTCCAGAGCGCTCAGACTGGGGCAAAGGTTCACCTTCCAACAGGAAAACGACCCTAAGCACACAGCCAAGACAATGCAGGAGTGGCTTCGGGACATTTCTCTGAATGTCCTTGAGTGGCCCAGCCAGAGCCCGGACATGAACCCGATCGAACATCTCTGGAGAGACCTGAAAATAACTGTGCAGCGATGCTCCCCATCCAACCTGACAGAGCTTGAGAGGATCTGCAGAGAAGAATGGGAAAAACTCCCCATATACAGGTGTGCCAAGCTTGTAGCGCCATACCCAAGAAGACTCAAGGCTGTAATCGCTGCCAAAGGTGCTTCAACAAAGTACTGAGTAAAGGGTCTGAATACTTATGTAAATGTTATATTTCAGTTGTCTTTTTTATAAATCTGCTAAAATGTCTAATCCATTTTAGAATAAGGCTGTAACGTAACAAAATGTGGAAGTCAAGGGGTCTGAATACTTTCCTAATGCACTGCATCTACAGTGGTCCTTACCTCTGTGCATCATATCCCCTACTAGAAATTCCTCAAATCCATTAGCAATCCCAACATACCACACACCATCGTTCCATTAACATCCAAGTATTCTGAAAGCTCTCCTATTACAACTCCACAATTCCTATCAGCCAATAACTCACATCATATAGATGTTCCCTAGTCTCTGAGCCATCTTCCCATACCCCTCCATATCATATCAGCCAGATATGTGTTGAAGGATGAGAGCTTATGGAACAGAGCAGAGAGACAGAACACTAGATCAGCCTGACAGGCGTGTCTGAAGCCTCCATGAAGTCCTGATTTTATTCCCTACATCTGCTCAACACATTACTGAACCGTGCTGCAGACTGACTGCGCAGGATGGGAATAATTAAGACACAAACATATACACATATTTTCTAACACTGATTTGTACACAAACACAGCTGAGCTGGTTGTATACTGTCGAGTCAGTTCTAAGTGTTGAACCAAATATTGACTTGGCCACTAGGAGAGGAGTGATACAGGCAGGGGGTAGTAAAAGTCTATGGAGGCATATTGATGGACGTTGCATATATTCTCTGTAATTCCTTGAGAAGGTGATATAAAATATAAAAATCCTACACAATTTTACCCAGGGCAGAAATTATATCTGAAAGAGCATATTCAAAGGTTTCTAAAGCATTTACAAGCACCTACAAACTTTCAAAAATAAAGGGCATGGGCTCTGTTAAAATTTATCACTTTTTGAAGAATAACGGGTTCCACACGTTCCCGCGTTGTTTGGGGAAAATAGTATTAATATTTTGATATATTCCATTATATTCTTATTATAAAATATATGTATGTTGACTGATCAGGGCAGGGGAATGTAAGTGTGTCTTGTCTGTTTAATGAACAAAATAATCAAACTATTGATTTAATTTGCATGGCGCAGCCATGTAGCCTACAGTCTAGGCTGCACAGACCAGTACTATAATTAACTCTAAATATGCTATTCTATTATTTTGAAATACATTTTCTTAGTCTCATAATGTTTCTTAAGACCTGCTTAAACTAATTAATAACAGATTTCTTTGTGATGGTGTAAATTCAATGGATTTATAAAAATAGACGGCCACCCACATCTGCACACCCCTATTCCCACCCGTCACCGGTGCCGGCTGCACAACGGTATGTATAAAAGACGTATGCCGGCAAGAAAGTGGTAAAAAAATTTGACTGTTTGAAAGGGTGTCATATAAACATTGCCAGATTTGTTTTTTTTACAGGTAACAAACCATAAATTCTGTCTGAAATAGGTATAAGTGTCAGACTGACTAAAAGCAGGCATTCTGCAGTTTTTAAGCATACCAGAGTGGACACTGGACAGTCATGTGACTGGGACCACCAAGGCCTGTAGGGTCAGAGGGGAAAGGAAGTGTAACCTTTAACCTCACCAACACGGTTGGTTTCCCATCCTAAGGATGCCCTAAGGAGGTAAGTTCCACACGCCTCCTTACCACCTCACTCAACATTATAACCTTCACCTCACTTAACACATATGCTCAGTATTTCACCCTTCTCAAGAGGCTGAGGAGATAGACAAGATGTGGGGGGAGAGGGGGGAGGAAACGTGAGAGTACCGGTACATAGAGAGAGAGATAGAGACGGAGTAGAGAGTAGAGACAGAGGGGACAGTAAAGAGGGGAAAGGAGGATGGGACGGTGGAAGTCGACTAGCACAAACGAGTCATAGAGGGCAGACACTAGAGGCGGCTGGTGCCATGTGTCAGCCTAGCAGACCAGCCGTGTCCATGTATGTCTCTCTGACCCATGTATGTCTCTCTTGCGTGTGTGTCTCTCTGACCCACTGCCTGTTTCAACAGGCCTGACCCTTGGGGGTCACGGGGTCAGGAGAGGAGCATAAACACACAGACTGGCAGAGCTGCTACTAACAGCCAGGCATAGATTCCTCTATGGCTCGCTACACACTACAACAGTCAGACACACACTCAACTGTGTTTAGATACGTTTGACAAGGTGACACAGATGCCAGCCAAAGACAGATCGTCTGAGGGAGTATTGGCAGTTGTTTAATAAACCTCACAATTTTACAAGCGTTTAATAATACTACTAGCACAAAGTGCTTTCAGGTTGATCCTCGTTCTAGAAACAAAACAGTGACCATACCATGTTTATTGCGTGATGTGAATTTGTATGTGAATGTTGCATTTGTGTGTGTGTATGCATTGCATACGTGTCGTATGTGACAGGAGTGTGCAGGGTGACAGATCATTGCACCTGCTAGCTCACAGACGTCTCTATTCTGTTTACATAGGAGCCTAGGCGTCTGTCCAGACACTAAAGACAACAGAACTGTTCACGTAGCCGCACACAATACCAGGAATTCAATTCATCTCAGCCAGACTATTTCCAAAACATGGCCCTGATGGCTGACAGTGCAGGAGCAGAGGCCACTGCCACCACGGGCACGGCTGGGCCGATCCTGGGTCTCTCACACATCACAGCAGCTAGGCTAGGCAATCAGAGGCTGGGAAAGAAGCAGCGTATGGTGGGGGTGCTCTACCACAAATTAGGTGGGAAGTTGTAGGGATTCAAGGAAGGCAGCAAAGTAATGCAAAAGCTAGTGGATTGTAATCTACAGGTGTACTCAAGTTATTTAGGAGCTGCACCTCATGTTTCTTCTTTCGTGAACCTCTAACATCACCCTCTTTAGAAGGGTGCTACGTTCCTGTGTGATGAATGAACAACTTAGCAACCATCTCACAAGTCGCAACTCAATTATTTTCAATGAAGTGACAAAACATTCAAATGTACAGAATAATAAACAAACCAAAACACGGAGGGGCACACAACGTATCACTCCACCCTTTCTTTCCCTTCCTCAACAAGCCTGTTTTCCTCTCAATCAGCACTCCCCTTTTCCTGTGTAAGCGCTTAAAGACCCAGAGGGGTGTTTGTGATAAAGGACGAGAGACATACAGCCTCAGTCATGCGTGTGTGGTTTACGAGGTAACACAGCCGTTCACACATCAACCCAGGGTTTAGGCCTACCAGGCCCCCACCTCACCCCCCACCTCCTCCCTGCCTTCAGATGCTATCTGTGGGACAGTCTTTAGGCCTGCCAGAGCCGGGTGGCTAGGATTATGGGAAAGCTCCCCAGATGGAGGGATAAGGAAGAGAGGAAGAAAGGACAGGCTGATCAAAGCGCTGGGGCCTCTTTGTGTCAGGCTGTGTTAGAATGGCTGGGGCCCGGGGATGGGGCCCGGCTGTGGGGCCCGCTGAGGCTCTGTTATAATCCCTAATGGGGATTAGAGAGGAAGATGGAAGCTGCTCCATCTCAGGGGATGTACAAGATAATTAGGGGAAAGTAACTGCTGGCTGTCAAATAGGAAGTGGAGCAGTCAAGAGACTTAGATGAACACAGTAGGTTCATGAAAAGTGTATGCACTCACTAACTGTAAGTCGCTCTGGATAAGAGCGTCTGCTAAATGACTAAAATGTAAAATGTTCAA